TTTTTAATAACAAGTAAATTTGCATTTTGAAGCATGCTTAATGAGGTTACATATGCGATATCATTCAGCTTCTTTGTGCATCATGCGACTGAGGAAGTAGAGTTCGAACAAAAGCTTTTGTCGCCTGGCTGTCCACTGTGCCTCCCTCATTAGAGATTAGCAATCGAGAATAGCAGGCGTCAGAGTTTCTAGAGTTTTCTGCAAAATTGATTAAGTTGTAATTTTGAAAGATAATCAACATCATTGTTTGTGAATTGATTGACATATATATAATAGTGGATAAGATTTGCTGTAGGTATTGCGAATATGTAAAACAGACTGATTTGCCAATTAATTCAATAAAGTAAGAGAAACGAATTTAAAACAATAAAAAATAATGAGCGAATAGAAACAATACAAACAAAAAATAGAGCACCTGTAGAAAAAATAAAAAATTTCTGTTCAAAATACAGAAATTTGAAAAGTTCTTACGCTGATACTTAATTATACTTGTAAAAGAACAATAGCCTACCAGCGATTTTGTACTTTACGTTTTTGTATCATTTTAATTAGGCTAGAGAACGTATATGAGGTCCACATTTCAATTCCAGAGGAGCTACGTTAACAAGCTTATTAGATTGATTTGTTTGAGAAAAAATTTTCATTCGATTTTATAATCCTTTCAGATATGGACTTGATACGACGTTATCGATTTACTTATTTAGTTTTATTAACACTTCCATATTTATTTATTATATATTCATATTTTTTAAAATCGTCATCATCATCATCATCATCAATCAACAATTCAATGCAAATAAAACAATCGTCTCGTGTACTAAAATCAATTGATGTTGAACGAGTCTTAGTTATTTATGTTTGGGCTGATACAGATGTACAGGCAGTTGGTAATCTTCAATTTTTTATTCGTTATGGTGTTCATCCATCACAACCAGCTGATTATTATTTTATTTTACAACAAGTTAATAACAAAACAGTGAATGAATCACGTTTACCCATACTTCCATCCAATGCACATTATATTCAACATGAAAATGAATGTTTTGATTTTGGTACAGTTGGATGGTTTTTTTCAAGTAAAATTGTTGATATAAATTTATATAAATACTTTATTTTTATGAATGCGTCGATACGTGGACCATTTTTCGCTGCTTATTTTGATGATGAAAACATGTGGTGGTTTACAATATTTACTAAACGTTTAAGTGATGAAATAAAACTTGTTGGTCCAACAATTAATTGTGAACATAAACCACATGTACAAAGTTATTTTTTGGCCACTGATCACGTCGGTTTATCTATTTTAACTGATAAAAAGAGTGGAGTATTTAATTGTAAAAAAGATTATGGTGATGCTGTGTTTAATGGTGAAATAGGTGCAAGTCAACTTATTCTTCATGCTAATTATCAAATAGCATCATTACAAACAAAATATCAAGGTTGGGATTTTCGTAAAAAAGAAAATTGGGCTTGTAATAATCGAGTTAGTCCGATATTTGTTGATCACTCTATTGATGGCATTACACATGATCCTTATGAACTTGTATTTGTTAAATATAAAGGATTACCACCATTTGATTCCGATCTTGAACGACGTGCATTAGTCTATAAAAAATGGCTAGAAGAACAACGAACTGAACAAAAAGCTCAACACTTACGTGAATAACTCAACTGTTAGGTAATCTTTGTTGATTCAAAATGTGAAATTTCTATTGATTGTTTGTTGTTGAATGATTCGGCACATGCGATATCCATAGTTCTAAATAACTTATTTTTACACTTCATGTGTCGTTTTCTAGTTTCATAATTTTATCAGTGTGTTCATCTAATATTTTTTGTGTTTTTCGTCATAAAAATAACTATTTCATTGTTCATGTTGTCATAATTATTTTCGATACAATATTTCCTTGCACTATTCGTGAATGATAAGTCGATAATAAACATTGATTCTGATCTGATACGTATCAATTTCCAGTTAAATAATATAAAACATTAGAATGGACATAACGATATTCCATTAATAAAACGATGTTTTGCATCTTAAAAACTACTGTTTAAAATTTCTTTAGTTTTAATGTTCAAAATATAGGTTTCATTTGTTTCAGTGACGAATCTAGGATTTTTGGAAAGGAAGACGATCATGGTCACAAAATGTGTTTTGTAGTCCATCAGAAATCGTACCGACTCTTTTTTGAGAATTTTCTGCTAAGAAAAATATGGTGGAAGGAAGAGGCGATCGTCTCTAATTGTCCATTCCTGTAAATCGATCAGTGATTTCTTTTAAAATTGAACATCACATATCACTTTATCAACAGAATTTTCGTACACTATCTATTAAACACTTACACATTGGCGATCACTATTATTGCTCGTCTCTAATTGAACAAACTTGTAATAATTGCACAATTTATTTAAATCTTTGTTTGTATTTGCACTGCTTGACTTACGTGCTACACGGTCCCTTCTCTATTTTTTCTTTCTCGCAACAAAGTATTGCTCAACAATTGGCGTTCGTATCATGACCAACCATTAATCATTGACACACGGAAGGGTTTGAGAACTTATCAGTAAAGAAAGTTGAGTGTACTAATGAAAACAGTACAGTTGAGAGTATGTGAAATAGAAACGTTTTTATTTTTTAGCAGTCTTGAATGTTCCAGACACGTGAAATCTTTCTTTGAGTGGTCAACTCGAAAATCATATAACAATTTATAGTAGAATATGTATTTAAAAACTTATGAATCAATAGAAAAAATTCTTCAAATTAGATATTAATCGATAGAGTATGAAGTACTCTTTCAATATTTGACCTTCATATAAATATAAGATGCCGATGAACTAAGATAATGCTTTCACCAACCATCTAGTATTTTTGATGAAATTCCACAACTAACAGCACTTTTAGTTTTTTATTCCATCTAGTTGCGTTTGTTAAGAAAGATCTGAGATTTTGGAAGCTTGTTGAAAATTGAACAACTTTTATATAGAACGTTTAGTCATATGTCACTTCATTTCACCCTGAAACACTGTATTCTCAGTTTCTTAAGCAAAAACAAATTTTAGTTATTAAAATTCTGTAACAATCAGTATTTCTTGAATAACTTAGTTCTAACTGAAAAGAAAATTAATAATATATTTATTAGTAGTAGATCTAAATTGCAGTTTACTTTTATCGTTGGTAGGAATACAAATATTGTAATTTAATTAAAAAGACGAAATTTCGTAATGCTTAGTCATTCTATTAGGTCAAATGAGATTTATGTCTCGATAATGAATTTGGTTTGATAAACAGACTCTTTCACTACATACATCATTTACCAGAGACTTATGACTTGTCAAATAAGTAATTATATTAAATACTGTTTTCTTCAGCATTGCTATTCACATTTGAAACTGACCGATTTTCACCAGTTTTTTTTTGCCGACTTTTGTATTGAGTTTTTCAGACATTAATGCTGACCTATTATGCTTGTTTTAACAATTTTCATGGTTTTAATGATCAAAATATATGGACCTGGAATTGTCCAACAGACAAATTTTCAGTCGTTGTCAAAATCATAGTTATAATTATTAAGCTAAAACTGTCTCATCGTAGGATGAAAGTATTGGGTCATGCTGAATAAATTTATTATGCTCACGAAAATTTAACCAGATATTAGAAATTAATTTTAGTTTAAACAGATTTTGCACATCGAAATTTTGAGTTTACTTATCTGGACTAGTTTTAACCGACACTCATAAAATCCTTACAGCTCGTAGTTTTCATTTCATGCTGTCATTACAAAATATTAGAAAAGATTCTGTTCTTTTGTCAATAACTTACTCACTACTAGCATCATGCAACTGTGAAACTATTTCGACTTTGAGAAACCTTAAAATAGGAAGTCTAACATAAAAACCGTACGTTTTTAGTTCACCATATCTTTCTGTTGGCAATAGTATATTTTTACAAATTGAGATGCTTTTCAATTGTGTTAAATAATTGTTTCAAATAAGAATAGATCAAACTTATCAATTGTAAAGAAATCATATCGTTATTGAAAAATGTCAACCAAAGCATTACATTGATTTTGTTCAATATTAATATCTGTGCGCTATTAGATGAAGTGTTTTGGAAGAAATCTTCGTTCGTTCTTATCGTTAATACACATGAAATATGACAGACTAAATTAGAAACTTTTACTATTAGAAACTCCAAGGATTATATTAGTTTTTTTATAGCATGTCTTTGTCGAGTGAAGTAATAGACCGTTTCTGGATTAGTTAATTGATACATTAAATGTACCGGTTTCTCGCTGGCTAAGTCAACATTTTCAACCGGCTGGTTCAGTCCAATCCAAGAAAAATCCGATTGTTTCTAGGTATCCGGCTGCTAGTTTGTGATGCGAATTTTTTTTCAAATCATTTACTATGCTTAATATGACTCTATTTATATGATACTCGATAAGTAATTTAACTCTGATCTATCGCATCTATTACAAAGTGCACAGTATCTATGGGAAATTAGGACAATACATATATTTTTAAAAAAAACTTTGGATTATTTCCTTCGTTGAACAACTATACTATTGTTTTTCCGGTATATATCCAAAGAAAGCACTAAAAATGAAGCAAAAATTTCTTTTTTTTTTCTTTTTCGTGTAAGCACAATATAACACATAAAGCAAACAAAATATAAATAAAAAGAACACTCTTTCTTGTTTTAATTATTAAATTTTTTTTCTATATTGCATAATGACAAATAACAGAAAAAGAAAAAAGCGACTATAGCGCAAACGAGATTAAGAATGATGTATATAATTTTATAATTATTTAAACAGAAAAAAAGAAGAAATAATTTTATACAACAAAAAAAAAAAGAAGATCACAAGTGACACAAATATGTTGCTGCTGGGCTGTTATTATTGATAATCATTAAGAATAAATAAGCAAAGAAAAAAAGTATTAAAGAAAATGAAATCACAAATAAGCAGCAAAAAAAGAAGATAAGAAAACTAAATTTAACTTTCGTTAGACAATGTTGACTCGTGTGTATTTGATATACTACTAGGAGAAGAAGAAGATGAAGAAGAATTTGATAACCATCGTGCCTTGTGATCATTGAGACCAAAACCAGCTGAATAATTTCCTTTTATAGCAAATAGTTGAAGAAAATGGGGTTTACAATAAATTTGTCCATCGTTAGCTGTAAAATTTCCAAGTCTAAAAACAAAAATGAACGATCATTGATTACAAATTCTTTTCAATAGCTCAAAAACAAAAAAGAAATAATTCAAAGCATTCGAAAACAAAACGACATGCTCTTCGATCACACGGCAGAGGGAGGAATACACAAAAAAAGCAATCTGCCTACGATTGATTGTTGATAAATTGAATTTTATTATTATTATTATTAGTATTATTTTCCTCTAAAAAAATATAGAAAAATGTAGATTGTTCTATTTTAATACTCACTTTAATATCGATTTGCAATGCATACATTTAAAACATGATTTGTGATAAATTTTTTTGTCTGCTTCAATCTTAAGAAAAAAAAAAGAATGAATTCACATGATTGAAGAAAAAAAAAATATTTTAATACTTTTTCCATTGCATAAACTGTTTTATTGCATACAGAACATTTATTTGGATCAACAGCTGATTCAGCACTGATTTGTTTAGGTGCAGGTGTATCCTAAAAGATTTTTGTTTTTTTTTTAAATTCTCTTTCATATTTTAAAGAAAAATAAAAACATACAACAAATCGTTTTGGTGTATATTTTATTTTAGACGAAGCTGTTTCAACTTTAAGTGCATCTTTTTCAAATTCAGCAAAACGATTTTTTAATGATTGAGCTTGACCTTTAGTTGGTACAAATTCTTCACTATCATTATATTGTTCTATTAGACCACTTGAACTGTTTCCTGTATCCGTCGGGGATGCTGATTTCCTAATAAAAATTCAAATGAAAATTATCTTTTTTTTTTTATTGAAAATTTTTCTACCTTCGAACACCTTCTGGTGGTGGTGTGACTTGTTTCAATGTTTTTCTGGTACTAGCCGTATTATTTTGTTCAACATTTTGCATGAGTCTTTAAAACACAAAATATAATAATTATTATTTTTTTATTATTATTACTATGTCACATATCAAATAGAAAAGAAAAAAATAATAAAGCTAAGGAGTAGAATTAAGTATAAAAATATGAGCAGTCACCTACACATTATTATTAGTATTCTTATTCCACAAGTCATGAATAATAGAGACAAGGCTATCGACACCAAGACACTCTTCGTCACTATATAATGACATGCAATTGTAGTTAGAAAAGATCATTTAGGATGCAAACATACACAAAAATAAATTAAAATTCATACCTTTCTCGAACAGCCTTGGCATGACCTGATTCAATATTAGCTTTATCATCTCCATAGCCTGGTTTCCGAGAAGCCATTTCATCCTGTATATATATTAGAAATATAGTAATAATTAAATAATATTTAATATTACATCTTCAGCAGGTGGTAAACGTCGTTCGTTGTCAGGTGGTGGTGTAATTGTACGTGGTCCACGTCGTTCAGGAGGTGGTGTGTTCTCTTTATCCATTGTTTTCCACATTTCAACAAGATTCTTTGCTTTACCTATGGTTTAAAATATATGTTTAAGACTTTTTTTGCTCTCTCTCTCTCTCTCTTCTAGTAGGCGTATGCAAAAAATAGAATGATAGTAATCATTTTATTTGATTACATACCTTGTTGAAGTATTTCAGAGTCCCGTATAACTTGAGCGTCAGGTGTATCTCGTTCTGGTGAAGCTTGTTTTGTTTTCCACTGTTCAACAAGTTGTTTTGTTTGACCCTTTTCAAAATAGATTTCTTCACGTTTATCACTTTCACGTACAACGTTCCCGTTCTCCTACATATATATAAATATATAGAAAAATGGCATATTAAATTAAAGAGAATAGAAAGAAAAAAAAAAGATTCCGACAGAGAGTGAGGAAGAAAGTGAATCAAACACACCATTCTACTGGCTACTACGAACACGTTTTGATAATAAAGAAGAGAACGAGAAAAAAAAGGAAAAACACAATCAATCCATATGTGTTGTTAGTAAGTGAAAGGAAAATGGAATCAATATAGATAAATATTTTTTAGTAAACAAATAATATCGATCGACTACTCACAGTTTTCATGTATTTGCTTTTGTGACTTCCGAATGACATCCGTGCTTCTTTTTCTCTTCCGATATGTGTATATATGTATGTATGTGTGTGTATGTGCTCAATCAAATGTCTCTTCTCAGTAGTAGTCAGTCATTGCATTTCTTCCTTTTAAACGACAGAGAACGGACAATAAATTCTTTGCACTCAATCGTCTTTTTTTGCTCTACTTCGATAAAGAGAAGAAAAAGAAAAAAGGATAGAGAATGGATATATGAATGGACACATGCATTCGCCTGCTGACGATCGAAGGTTACTCACGGTTTTTTCGTTTTCTCTTATGCAACTATGCTCTCTTCTTCTATCTATCTAGTTCAATGATCGAATACAATATATATAACGCATATCGATCACTCTATAGCTCTGTAAGTTGACTTTACCAATAAAGCAATCCGTCTATCATATATATATATACATATATGAGTCGCATGGGCGAACAGTGCATCTATAGTCTTTTTTTTCTCCGCTACGATTTTAGCTCTTTTTATTTGAATACAAAAAAAAGGCTACTTGTGCATAAAACACATATCATTTATACCAATGAACAAATAAGCAAAACTCTTCGAATGTTTAACTTGTCAATAAAAGATACTATTTACATGACAGACAAACAAATAGTCGTTATTAGAGAAAGACAATAAACTAATATAAACTCATAAAACAGATTCCAATAATCATATTATTGTTTTTGTTATCTGATACTATTTATCATATACTACTATGCACACATAAATACATACATACAGGCACATAAACGTTTTCTCTCATAAAAATATTGAGAAACAATACGTTTTGTGCACAATATTATGAAAGAATGTTAGTGTATTAAAAAAAAGGCAAAAAAATTAATTTTTTATTTGAGATCAGTATTTATATTATACAGCGGTGCATTGAGAGAAAGAGGAAAAGAAAAGTGCATTTGAAGATTAAAAAAAAAAATAATATGAAAATAAGATAAAGATAGAAAAATAATCAAAGATTAAGCATTTATCTATATTTAGCAGTATACCAGACACACACAAATACATAACAAATGCACACATTTGAAGATGATAACACGCATATGAATGGGTGTTCACACACGTTCAAAAAAAATGAATTATTTGAATAAAAAAATATAAAAATGAAAAAAAATAAATATATATATTTGGGAAATATACACATTTAGTGTACCTCACCGGAGATAGTGGAAACACCGCTTTTGTCCGTATCCGTTGATTTTATCTTCAATCTTACACTCATGTTGACAAGCGTGTCAGAAAATTCGACACGCTAAAAAGAAACAAGAGAGGAAATTGTCATATATATGTGTGTGTCTGTATATACACGCAAATTAATTTTTATTATCTAGATATTTTTATATTAAGCAAGCAATCCCATCTATGTTAGTAAATTTTTGTTTTTCGTTTGAAGAATTAATAAAAAAGAAAAAATTCCCATTAATCAAAGATTAAAACCTACGATTGGTTGAGATTTTCTTCTCAAAATCGAACCATTTAAAGGTTGGCACACATTTACGTGCCATCGAAAATCCTTTAATTTTTACGAAAAAACAAAAAAAATATATTTTCTCAATTTAGATAAGTCAAAATAAAAATTATTTGTAAAAGGAAAAAAATCCAGAAAACTTACATCAACACGTAGTTTTGAATCACCACCAGAACTTGTTGTTGTTTGTGTACTACCACTTTCTAAATTTTTAAACATAGCTACACGTTCTTTAGCTACTCCACGTTCAAGAAGTTCATTATCAATTTCTACTGTTCGTTTGATCTAAGAAACAATTAGAATTAACATATATATTTTTGTAAAAATATTTAACTAATTATAATAATTTACTGTAGTAGTTTCATCTGGATTTTCAAATGCTGTAGCCCGACTTTTTGCTAAACCACTTTCAACATCAAAAGATTGAACTGTTGCTTTTACTGGTTTACTTGTATCAGCCATATACTGTTCTTTAATTGTACTTGTTGAACCAGTTGTTACATCAAAATGTTTTTCTGCTGATTTATATTCACTACTAGCCAATGATGCTAATTGTTCACGTCGTGCTATTGCTAATCCACTTTCTTGTTCAATATCAATATGTCGATCACCTGAACGTTGCACGTGTTGTTCAGCTTCCATTTTTGATAATAATTCTGAACGTTTTGTTTGTGCAAGACCTGTTTCAACAATAGTTGACATTTCATCAAGACGTGTAGGTGTTATTGGACGATCAGATAATTGACCACTTTCAAATTTAGCTTTCTTGTCTGTTGTTGCACCAACAAGAAGATCAGCATCAGCTTGTACACGACCTGAACCAAGTTCATGATAATCTTGATCGAAATCACCTTTTTCAAACATAGCTTTTTTATCTGTTGCAGCACCAACCAATGCATCACGATCAATAATAACTGTTTTTGTTAAATTTGCATCATTCTCAAGTTGTTGTTGAAATGCTTGTTTTTTTGCTGATGTTGAACCAGCAGCAAGATCTGTATCGATTTGTACTTTATTAGCATGTGGTCTAGTTTCTTGTTCGAATTCACCTTGTTCAAATGCTTGTTTTTTTGCTGATGTTGAACCAGCAACAAGATCTGTATCGATTTGTACTTTATTAGCATGTGGTCTAATTTCTTGTTCGAATTCACCTTGTTCAAATGCTTGTTTCTTTGATGATGCAAGACCAGCAACAAGGTCTGTATCGATTTGTACTTTACTAACATGTGGTTCAATTTCTTGTTCGAATTCGCCTTGTTCAAATGCTTGTTTTTTTGATGAAGCTAAACCGCTTTGTACACGAACATCTAAACGTTTTTCCGCACGTGGTTTATCACTATCCATTACACCTTTTTCAAATTTATCTTTAACTTCTGCCATTTCATGATAAGGAACCTAAATAATAATAATAATAATAATGTTTAAAGAAAATATTAAATATAAATAATATTATTATCATACATGTTCTTTTGGTGGTTTCTTTTTTTTTCGTGTTGATCGAACAATACCATCAGATTCTGATGGTTGAACATCATCTTCCTCTTCATCTTCTTCTTCATTTTGAAGACCGTTTGAAGAACCAATTTCTTCAAACCTATTTAATAAAATTTGGTTATTATTATCAAACAAGGTAGTACTAATAATTATTTTTAAAACTACAATAATTGTCATCAAAAAAACAATGATGACAAGAGTCGTATCAATTTTTCGTATATATTCATCGATTTCAGTATAAATCGCAATAATTATATTTAGAATTTCTACTATTGAAGAAATTTGAAAATAATATGTAATCATAATATAAGTAATCATTGTAGCTATTATGATTAATAGAAGACATCTGTTGACATTGCTTGCTTTTCTCATTAAATGTTTTTCAAATATATGTAAAAAAAAAAACAAAAGTAATCATGGATTGAAAGTATTACGATTATTGTAGCTTTCTCTGTCGTTCTCTTTAATACACACCTCCATTTTTACTTTTTTTTGTCAAGATGTTTTTGGCATTTTCTACTCAAGTGTTTTTTTTTTCTTCTTATAACAACAGAAAGACAAAAAGGAAAATATGTCATCGGTCTATTTGACATTTTAATGTATTAAAAAGAAATATATCTCAGTTTGTATTCAGATTAATGTTTCGTCAATACTTAAAAAAGCTGCTTACCCTATTTTTGATGAATCCATTTAAAATTCTAGACTTGTTGAAAATCTACAGCTGTTCTTCTACGTCGATATTTATTGATGTGAAACGATAAACTGTTCTTTTTTTTTTTTGCTTGTGTAATTCAACGAAATGGATGACTGCTTACCTAATTTCTCCCACTTGTTTTTTTTTCTTTTTTTAGGTATCTATTTTTTACCTTCCTTTTTTTTCTCTCTAACCTCAAATACATATTCACAACGTGTATGATACAATTATAAAATCGATCATTTACATGATTTCCTTTTTCTATTAATCAAACTAATCAAGCAAAAAAAAAAACAAATCATAATTACTTTTGAAATGTATTTTTGATTTTGTCACTTGGTGCCACTTTTTCGACTCTTTGCAATTTTTGTCCTTCATCATCTTCATTCTTTTTACTACCAAACATTTTTGTTATATTACGTAGACGTTCCAATGTATCATCAGAACCAGCACTGGTATCAATTGCTGTCAATAGAAAGAAAAAAAAAAACAAGATACAGGTTATATCATCAAGTAAAAGATGTGTATAGATAAATGCTATTTAATTGAACAGCGCAGTAAAATTCTGTTTTTTTTTTCCTTTTCGATAAATACATAAACACTAAATTAAAGAAACCTTACAATTTGTTAAGTTTTCGATGTAAAAAGAAAAATAAAGTCAAGTGCGCAAAAGAAAGAAAAATGCTTCCTTGAATATTCAATACATACACGAATCTTCATTTGAATCTGCCATTTTTCACTTGATTCGATGAAGTAGGTGCTCAAATTTAGCACACTTAAATACTTGTCTTATTTTTTTTGTCTCTTTCTTTTATTTGCACCACACACGTACTTTGGATAAAATGTTTATCACTAAAGGAAGCTACTAGAAATAATAGAAATATCTTCTGCTTCGTTCTTTGACGACAATACTAGTGAGAACTGTACATATGTGTTATCCCAGATATTTATGTCCTGTTCGCCCTCGCATTTCTCTATCTTTTTCTATTGCTGCAATTTTTTTTCCTCGTTCGGCATCATCCTACGCAAAACATATATATATATATATAAATACAAAAAAGAAATGCGCCCGTTGCGCAAATTGTACAGATAAACAGCGAGTACCATAAGAAATTGTTGGATATTACACTGAAGAGAATAGGAAAAAAACAGAACATAGCGGAAGCATAATATGCTGTAGTGATTATTTCTTCGTTCTTTTCCTATGAGATCAATCTGACGTAGAAACTATACAAGAAAAAAAAAAGAGGTCATCAACAAAGTGCACATACATATACAGTTATGCACGTAAATTAATTGGATGAGTCGTTTTCCTATCTGTAAAATATCTGTCAGAAGGCAAAGAAAAAAAAACTCTCCTATGTCATAATATAATAACGAAGAGAAATGATCTATTTTTGTTTTAGTTTATGCTTAGAACAGTTGTCAACTGATGTAGAATTTTCTCGTATGATCAATAATAGAACTGACACACAGACACCCACATTAGAAAATTCAGATTACTTTGCACAACTGCGTAAATAAATGTAGACTCTTTCAACTAACAATAGGATAAACACATACACACACATATATATATATATGTAAGTCTTTTTTCCGGATTTAACTAATTTTATATTCAATATAAAATCATTTGAATAGGCTTCGGTATATATTTAAAGGCTCATCGTTATTCTCTAATTTGTTTATCCAAATCATTGAATTATAATATTATGAAGCCCATGAAAATTTTAAGTACTACGCATAACTATTGGTATTGTTTATTTCACGTAATATTTTTCTTATTTGTATATATACATGAATGATCAACAAATCTTATTGATCACATACTATTTCGTTAATTTTATCTATTAAATCAATAGTTAATAACAATATGTTCGTATGCGACCTTTACTTACGAATAAATCTATTATGTTAAATTTTATTTTAACCGAGTTAATCCCAATGATCAATGAATAGATATTAATCGAACTTACTTCCGTTCATTGTTGACCAATTTATAGAACAAATCTCTTTATGACGTCGTTTTTTGTTTATATGTTGTTGTTGATCACGAAATAGTGAACATGTTTGTGAAATAGAATTTTCATCCATTGATGTATTTTGTTCATCAATATCACTCAATGTTGAAAGATCATCATTAGTTGTTGTATCACCATCACAATATCCATTAGCACTTGTTGATAATGATGATGACGTACTATGTTTATGTTTTTGACGAATTATTGATATAGCTGCACGACGTTCTTCTTCACTAGCAGCTTCAGATATGGGATCAAGAAAATGATAAGATGTATATACTTGTTGTTGATCTTGTAATGATGATAATGATGAAATAATAAAATTTGGTGATGTTACATAAGGTAAAGGAAGTATATGTCTATGAAAATCCTCATTTTCATCATCATAATCATCGTCTATATCGTTTAATTCATTAGATAATCGACATAAAACACCATCATCTGGATCCGAAAAAAGTAAATTAACTTCATCTTGATCAATATGAATTTCATCAAGATCATCATCAAGATCATCATCATCTTCATCATTTGAAAACGATAAAGTATTAAGAAGACTATGAGATGTTAATTTATGAACAATAGTTTTTGTTGAATTTAACTGATGTTGTTGTTGATCAATACTGATTGAATCGACTAAAGACGATGATGATGATAAAAATGATTCATCATCATCATCATTATCTGGTATTATATGTTGTTTAAATAATCTTTGTTCTAAACTATCTGGTGAAAGACTACGTTCACGTTGCTGTTGCTGTTGTTCAATAGGTACCATCTCTTCAGTAAGAACGGTAGTACCACCATGAAGAGGCAACATGAGGCCAGATGGTAATGTGAACTGTAGAAATTTGAACATCAATCAACAGTAGAATCAACTGTGATGATATTGTAGAATGTGTTAAGAATAAAATACCAACTTTTGATTCTCTTATTCGTTTATGTTCGTAATCGTATTGCAAATGAATGTGAGAAAAGGAAAAGTGAAAAATGAATGAACAAACAACTAGTGGTTGGTTGGAGTGATGATGAACAATGGAACACAGAAGACAAGAAATAACGTTACTTCATTTCTTCTCCTTTTTCTTTTCGATTCGTCTCTGTTCTCCTCCTTCTTTTTTTGTAATCGCAGCAACGTTCGACCGAGCATACACACACACACACACACACACAAACACAAGCAGTTCTTAACCGCAGGCTTTATCGATAAATTCACTTTCACTTCTTTTCTCTTTCACAACGACACAAGTAGTATATGTACAGATTGATATAGACATGAAATGTGCAAAAAAAAATTTCGACGAACAAGAGAGCTTTTCGCATCAGTGTTGCCTGAAGATAATAAACAAAAATCGGTAGAGATTTTTCTTTTTGATTTTGTTTGTAAAATACACAATGAACAGATTATCGTTTTCAATTTTCATACAAGGTCTCGACAGTTTTCTTTTTCCTTAACATAAAATATCGATTATATTGTCATTGACGTCTCATAATTAAATAAACAAAGAATCGTATACACCATGAAATCAATCTAGATGAATTGTGAGAATGAACGTCAAGTACTTAGCATCGAAAAAAAAATGCCATTCATCCAATTTGTAAAATACACAAAACGAACGTTTACCTATATGATTTATAATATATCCTATCATATATATATATATATATATGTCTGTCTGTTGATTCTGTTGAAACGATTCTTTAGGGCGTGTCTTGCGTTGTACAGAAAAAGATTCTATTTTTATAAACAAGATTCTAAACTTACCTTGTTGATTATTTCTTTCATTATGATTATTATTATTATTAGTTCGAAAAATTAATATTGTATGTATAATACAAAGATGAATAAATGTAGGAGAAAACCATTCATATATAAGAGTCCAAAGAAGACGCCAGACATTATTTGTATTATTATTGACCATTGTTGTCGTTGTTTTATCATATAGTAGACTAAAACAAAACAAAAAAAAAGAAAATGATCGTTCAATGTTATTGACTAAAGTGATTATTCGGTCAGTGAACTTTTGTCTCTTTTGATCGAGCTAGCAGTAGTAATTGTGTGATAATAAGAACAAACAAAATTTTCAAAATATGCGAAAGAAATCATATTAAACGTTGACATAAATATGTCGCAGATCAATGAATTATTATTACATCTTGTATATAATTACAAATAATATTTTTATAAACGAACTTTATAATAATTTATTTTTTAATCAAATTTTAATGAATAATGAAATTATTCGGTAATCGATTTAATTTATTTGTTATTAGAATTAGAAAAGTCATATATTATTTTATCATGTATATACATATGACAAGAAATTTGTTGACAGATATTCTTGTTCTTTTCGTATTTAAATATGAAAAATAATCTTCTTATCACATAACACGTTTAAATAGACTACTATGAATTTTAATATTTAAAGATTTATTTAAATCTCTTTTTTCTTGTCTACTGTCGATCATCGTTAAGTCAAAAGACATGAGAATTAATTAAATTTGTTAAAGTTGATAAGGTGTTCTGCTTTTTTGTTGTTGTTCATTAGTAAGAAAAACAATTGATAGAAATTTAGAGTCACTAAAAATGTCAAAGACTAATTGAAGAAACCTAGAAAGTATGCTTTTTTTAAAATTATGATATTGACATTTTGTTATTTGAATGCATTTCAAGCTTCATTATTTCACGTAATTGCTTATTGATGCTCTTTATATGAAGAAAGACATAAGCTTATGTAAATATTAAAATCAAAAGATGAATTTTTTTTTTAAATTTTTCAACAAAATATGATAAGCTATGTATTGGCAAGCGTTACTTATAAATAGATTCGTCTTGATCGTCAAAGATTGCTATAAATTAGGTTTTTTTTTATTGTTAATAAAAAATTTTCATTTTACACAAGTATTTTTATGTCGCTGAGAATAAATATTGTAAATCGATGTTGACATAAAATGTATCTCAAATATGAGGGTTTATCAACTTTACATTATCGTATGGTTTTTTATGTAAATTATTCGATTTATTTTTTTTATCTAAAACTTAATATAAATGGTAGTAAGAAGATTTTTGATTTCATACTCTAGTATCAAATATGATAAAATATCACACATGTCCATCATGACTGAAAGGCTTGTTACTATTGTCATGATAGTATTCGAGAAAAATATGTGAAAGTCCGTTGCTGTAAATGTAATGAACTAGAATTGAGTTTAAGAGTGTTATATTTGTAAACATTGAAATTTCATGCAAAATTCATGTGATTTTGCAATGTCGTTCATAAAGAAGTTAACACCACTACGATGATGGCAGCAGCAACAACGCCGCGATGAACATTTCTGTTATATATATTGCTTCTTAACTGGAATCAATATCGAAATTTTATCAAAGCTTTTATAGTCATTCATCTCTTGTTTATCATTCTAAACTTTTATTTTTATAGATTTATTCCACTGAAAATTCATCAATAGATATTGTTTTATCTATCAAAAGTGATTGAATATATGCTTCAGAGATCAAATAAAATACTTGCAAGAATAATATATGTCCCTGGAAAAAAGTAGTTAGACTTAATACTTTTAACATATATCGTTACTATCATAATTATATATTATAGTAGCGCACGGAGTTCTCTACAATTCTATATATATGTACGTTTTGAATTGCGCTTGTTTGCTAAAATAAAAATTCAAGCACAATGAAGAGTATCAGATTTATCCGAAATGCAGTTTTTGTTTCTTTTTCATTAATTTTGTCAAATTTATTTTAATATAGAGCCAAGCTAATTATTTGATGACAAATATTTCGAATATCTTTAATGCATCCTCACCACGGTGACACCTTCACCCTTGACTACTACACAAGACTAATACAGTAATCCATGTATGGTTATCTGCTAGTTAAATAAGATGTATTGATAATTATTCACATATGAGCCCTGATTTTAATGTTATTTAGAGCTTTTTTGTCTTGGATGAACCAATGTAAACAGAGTTATCATCGAAGTTCTCAACCACACTTGACTGAGGAGTGTGATAAGTGAGTACATTAACAGCATTCGAAATATTATTTATTATCAAATAATTAAAAGTCAAGACTAGAAAAAAGTACAAAATAATAGAGAATTTCACATGCTTTCAGAACATATGCTTATACTTGTAAGAGCTTGCTCTTTTTTATTAAAATAAATTTGAAAAAATGAATAAACAAGAAAAAAACGCATTTCTGGAAAATCTGATAAGGACGGCACTTTCATTGCATTTCAATGTTAATTTTACCGAACAAGTGTAATTCAAAGTGTGCGCATATAAAGCTGTAGAGGACTCCGCGCATAATCTTTTAGTGATAATATGTTAAAAGTATTGAGTCTAATTATTTTTTTCCAAAAGGGGGACAAATACTGTTTTGAATAATGATTTTGCTAATATATCAAAATCCAATAATAACAATAGAAGTTAGAAATTCTTATTACACGTACATTGAAAAGACTTTGCTCGTCAAAGTTAATCTTTAGAAAGATATAATATAAATGAAATAATACAATGAAATACAAGTTTTTCAATCCACTTTTAAACAGCTAGTTGAATGACTCTGTTATGTGAATTCTCATTTGATATTATTCGATAAAAATATGAATCAATATGTAATATAAAAAGAAAGAGAATTCAAAAAATTCCTTTCAAACTATTTGTTTCGTCAATAATGTGGTTGAATAGCGACTTATAATACTCATCATTCCGTTTCGTTTTCTTGAATAAAAAAATAACAAGAGAAAAGATTAACATAGAAGTATGAAATAATAATAATAATAGATGTAAAGAGTATATTGTATGGCTATTGTCCTTGAGAAACTTGACAAAGTTCTTTTGTTTATTTCATACAGAAGGAAAAAAAAATGTGTCCTATTAATCGAAACTATAATAAGCGCACCAACTGATAATCAGTGTACCACACTCAATGGACTCTATGTGTAGATCAAGACGAATTGATACATATTCACACATACTAAATAAAATATACAAGTATTTCAACACAATTGTCGAGTTGTGAATGCTAGGGATTTACAACTACAAGCTTTGGTACTGATGATAATAGCAATGGAGTTACCAGTTGATGAAAACATTGAATAGTTGTTGATAACGTCAATAGATATGGATTACTGATCTATATATTTTACATATATTTTTAATAGATATTTTTCTAAACAAATTATTTTAAAAAAAATAAATTGTCCGTCTTAAAATCATAGAATGATGTACATTGTTCCACTTTATTACTACAAAAAATGTTTCAGTACGAAATCGAAAAATAGCTGTCTACGACAATCATATTTAGCAAACGAAACGAAAAGACATTGTATACTCATGCTTTCTTATAGAAAGACAGAAAAACAACACTGATCAATAATTTTCGTTGAATATAAAATAAAGCTAAAGAAAAATATGAATAAAATGATATTTCTTCGATTTTCTATCTTGTACATATTTGTAATCTAAATAGCTAAGAATGATTAGTTGCTTTGATGTGGGATGCTTCAGTTCTGATTCAACTAGTAACTGATTGCAGTATGTCTCTTACAGTGGCGTAACTCGAAAGCTTTCATCAATGGAATAGCCAGTGAGAGGAAATTTCTTCTATGAGGCTCATCCATCTCTAGTCAACTATCGCCTATGTCACTAGTTTCTAACGGTACTCTGATAACGAATACAACTCTAGAGACCATGAATCAAACATTTCAAATATTTTCTGAAACTATCATTTGTATTGTGCTCTCATTTATCTTCTTTCTTTCTCCGATTAGATCCATTACTTCTATACTGCTTCCTTCGGTCTTCAATGAATGATGACAATTACTATCAATATCTCGTTTAATATTCTTGTTATCTTTATATGAGTTCTATATCTTCTAATGCACTATAGTTCTGCTCATCATCCGTATATATATATATAGATATGTACATGGGTCTCAGAGTTTCAAAAACTTGAGCTTCTTTCGACAGTAAACCCCGTTCACTAGGGGCTGATGGATTTTGTTTGCCTTTACCTTTATGTTCAGCTGACAGTAGTAATAACAAGAATTATATCTATACAAATAACCTATTTCTATGCTAAATGAATTTAAAAGAGATTATAAAACAATTCATATATATCTGCTGTTTCGACTTCAAAATTATCAGTCAGCATAGCATTCAACAGATTCATTCGTAAAAATTAGTAGCTTCCTATGTCTTTCATAAAATTGGTACATTTGTCAACGCTTAGTAGTTAATTTTAGTTGGATGTTTCAGGAGATATTCTGACATCATCAAGGATATGTCAGACAGAAAAATAAATGAAAAATCGTAGAGAATTAGAAAATAGGTGAATATATAAAGAAATGAAAAAATTTAATAAGAATGAAAAATCTCAGTAGAACAGTAGAGAAAAATAAAGAATTATAAGCAGTGTAGAAATTACAGTACACAAAACCTTGGCATCTTAAATTTTTTTTGTATCAAAAAGAAAACTATACGTCTTTCTAAATTCGTTCATTCAGGGATCAGATTTGAACACATTATACTTTTCGAACGACTATGCAAAGTATTGGTTTATATCATTTCACTGTCAAAAATTACGATGAGCTTGAAATACGACAAAGTCTTAACTGTTATAATGTGTTTTCTACGTAATTTATAATGAAATGTGAGCTCATGGACAGATTGAATGTCATACATTATACATATTTGAGTTCTCTTGAACTCTATTTTTAGGATAAGTTCATCTTTCTCTCTAGGTTCTTCTCTTCATTGTTAAATATTTTTCAATCAGAGAAACGAACTATCAAAAACTTTCAATAAAATAAGACTTGTTTCAATTGATTAACTCTTTAAATTTAATATAAGATATTATTAATTTTGATGTGACGAGAAAACAAAGACAAATTATTGTATTGAATACAAAAGGTTTTTTAAATATAATCCTAAATAGACTTAGTTGTTGAATGTTTAATGCATATATAGTATGCGTTCCCGGCATTATAAACAAGATTATATATAAAACAAACTTTATTAAAATATCAAGAGAGGCATTATCTATTTTGCTCTCGATTCTATTGAAAAATGTATGACGAAAGCAAGTTTTGAACACTCAGAACTTGAAGTTTTTCTTTTCAATAAAAGGTTATGTGATGCTAAGATTTTTTTTATTTTAAATTATATTTTATCAAATTACAATAGAAATCTAATACATAAAATCTAAACATGAACACTACAACATTTAAATCAGACGAATAGTGATAATGTATTACAACAATTTTTATTTGTCAAACTTTTAAAATATCATTAATTGATCATATTTTCTTCATTAAAATTGTCTACAAGAAATACGACGACGATAAAATTCAGTTACTCTTTTTCGAAATGTTTCACGAAAGTATTTGCTTGTCAAAGTTGAAATATAAAAAGATAGAGCAAAATTAAAAAAATAAAATGCAACACCCATTTGTAAAGTCAAATTTTCAGCAGCAATTTCACCATCAATTTTGTTCAACTTATTTCTTGTAAGTAATGAATAACTATATGAACCAACACGTAATAGAAGAAAAACAGTACCTACAATAGTTTGCGTCACAATAATCTAAATAGAAAATATAATTAAAATAGAAAACACAATATTCTATCATTCAATACAAAATATAGCATACAGTAATCAGTTGTGCTTCGAAACGTTTGATTAATGAACTACGTACATTAGTTGTAGTTGGTAATATTCGAGTTTTTCTTTGTTTCAAATTTAAAAAAGTAATCAGACATAGAATTAACATAAGAATATGAGGTAATAATGAAATAAAAAATACTATATGAACAGCTAAAAATACTTCATATATGCTATTTGCAGAAATTTGACATTTATTATTGTAAATAACTTGAAATACAATTATATGTATATTAATTATACATCCAAAAATAAATACAACAAATGATAATGGATAGGCTACTTTAATTTGACTCCAAGCACGTATTTTTGCATGACTAGATGTAGTCAAACACCGATCCAAGATCGATAATAACATATAAAATGTGGCTAATGCAGGTAAAGTAAAGCTAAGATAATAACGAGCTTTACAAAAAATGATTGACTGACTTTCTAAATTATCTCCAAAGTAACCCAACAATAAGCGAATTGAGATAGGAATAAGAATCGAAATCATTTGAAATGTATTGGCACATAATAAATAAAATACACAAGAATTTCGACGCAATTTTGGAGTAGTAAATGTTATAAAATTACAAATACCACCAATTGTACCAATAATAATTGTCAAAAAGTTAACAGTTAATGAAATTTGTTGAACGATTTTTAATAATGTTGTCAAACTTGTACTGTTTGTCGACATATTCAAATAAGTTAAGTATCGGAATTGTTTTCTGTTTCAAAAATATGTAACTATGCGAATGCAAACTATTACTTTTTTTTTTGTCTTTTTATCTTATTCAATTACTTCATTTCTTCTTGCTTTATAAATCCTGTTATATAATGAAAAAAGTTATTTTTATCGACCTCTTTCGAATATTTGTTAGTGTGATTCAAGAAAAAAGAATTGACGTTGTTTGTTAAGATAAATTTTCAAAAATATAGAGCAATAAGACAAGAACATTTGGTTGCTGCTGATTTTACGTGTCTATTTTACATGAGTAGGGCACAGATTATCAATTAAATCAGAACATATAAATCACGAGGTGTTCTCATTTCCTGTTGGAATTTAATTATTAATTAATCCTGCTGATTTGCAAAGCAAATGAGGGGGATGGAAGTTCAAGTACAAATATGAAACGGACATTTTGTTTTCAAATGCAGCATCAGTAAAAAAAAGGACTCAATCAAAATATAAATTCCGAAAATGCAGTAAAAGTAACAAATCTAATATTTATCAAAATATCATAACTGTTCAAATTTAATTTTAATATTTGTAGAATTCTTCACTGAAGAAAGTCTATATACTGTTCTTTTAGGAGTATCTTCATTTAAATAACAAATCATAAAATCATCAATATTCAAAGAAATACGAATGAAAGGAAACATCAATCAATCAATCACATATCAGTTTTCTCATAAATGTATTGAAGTTTAAAAAACTTAATAGAAGAGTTCAATGAAATGAAGTAAATGTTCTGTAAATTTTAAAAAAAGTCAATATCATACAAAAGAGCTTGTTTGAAAAAAAACTATCCATCAAATAAGAAATCGCTAAACGAACTTGGAACGTCTTTTTATCAATTTTCATAAGGAACCACATAATTACATGTTATAATAAATACAGATCATCGAACATATTGTCTAAGATTAGCTCACAAATTTTGTAACTAGAGATGTGTGGAGTCAATTTTTTTTTTGTTTTTTGGTTGCAATCATAACCTCTTTAAATCTAATGTAATTCCGGTCTAGAGAAAATTATTCCAAAATTTATTCGTATTACATCTAAAAGGAACTCTTCAATTCTCTTTTTTTTTATTTATTTAGTCGACGACTAGCACATTTTTTTTTAGTGTAGTTCCCTTGAATTATGTTCTGATTGATATAATTTATAAGAGAATTCACTAAAGACGATAGAATGCTTAACTATAATCTTTAGTGCCGGTTAGGACAAGTTTTTTCTTGTGATTCTAGTCCCAATAAATCTCCAAGTTTTGATCCTGATTCAGATGATCGAGATTAAACTTGGTCCTGAACATCTCTAGTTACAACCTATTTTTTGTCGATAGTCATATATGAATTCAACCAATATTCGTATATACAAGTAGTTGATCTGATGATATTATTCAATCGTTCGAAAGCTTCATGATTAATGCCAAAAAAGTAAATCAATGTATAGAATATGTTTGGCAAAAGAATATCTTTCAGTCTAATGTTCTATTTATGTGATCATTTCCGAAGTATTCATTCATTTTATTAGTATATTGCATGTTCTATGATTTTTCTATGATTAAAGGGAAATTGTGTATTACCAAGAACCTGTTATGAAACTTCTTATCATTTGTCAGACAGAGAGCGCCATCTAATTTACTATTTGAATATGCGTTATGATCCATTCATTACCAAAATATCGTGAAATATTTGATATATATCTTTGGATATTTTAACATTGATTAATATTATTATTTTATTGTGAAAGACTTTATTTTATATAATGAATTTTGAATCTGATGATACCGATAATGATGATAATATATTACTCGACAACGATACTTCAACGGATGAAAGTGAATATGGTAAAAATTCGAAAACTATGCTTATTGAACATAAGAACAAACCATCAAATACTCGTAAGAATATCTAACAAAAAAAAATCTCTTTTTTGTTCTAATTAATAAATATTATTGTTTCTATATATTCAGAATCCGATTCCTCTTACAAGTACGTCCAGTTCATTCTTACGAAGAAAAGAAAAATCTATTAATTTGTCTTCATATAGCTTTAGTACTTATTTAGAAATATATGAACAAATATATAAATTCTATTGTGTCGATGAACATAAAAAATGGCAATTATTATTCAATGATATTATTAAACAATCATCAACACCTTATCAAGTACTTTATATGTTTTTGGATCATACATTAAGTACAACAAATAATAAAAAACATAAAATGGTTATACCATTTATTGAACAATTTAAACAAATAAAATTATCAAATAAAAATATAGAATTAGATGAAACAATTAAACATAATATTCTATTAAAAATTTGTCGTCGATGTATATTTAGTCAATTAGAATCCATAATTGATATATTTGATTTACGTTCAATAGATAATCGATTAATAGTTATTGATTTTATAAATAAACAAATTGAACAACATCAAGATTTAATATTTATTTCACAATTGACGAAAATTTTAAAACTTTTAGAAATTAATGCAATATCATTTGAAAAAGTTTGTTTTTGTGTTTTGTTTTTGTTCGCAATAAATTAGATAAATATAATGAATATGTTTTATTTTTATTTCTAATAGATTATTATACCACTTATATTTAAATCACAATGGGAAACTATTAAATTTATTGTTGAAGATGATAAAATACTTCAAAGAAAATTACTTCAAACAATTGATGTTTTAATTTCAACCGATAAGTAAGAATATGATATAATCTTCGAATGGACACACTGAAAGTTTTCTCAGATGAAATATTTCCTCATTTTTGAATACCTTGAAAAAGTTTCAAATAAATTATGAGTTATAATCAGAAATTTACCCCTTCCGAATGAAGGCTTTTGAAAATCTTTTTTTAGATCAATGAGATGGTTTTTTTGAAAGGTTTAAACAACTAGTTAATTATAAAATTTTTTTATTAATATATCAATTTGTAGAGCAGACACTATCCAACAAAGGTCATTTCAATTATCGTTTCTCTTAAATCTTTACTTTCGAAAAATCGACTTTTTAATCAAAAAACATTTTTTTTTGTAGAAAAAAGCTATTGACAGAATGCTTATAGAGTTGTACATAGGTGAAAGTCATAGCTTAGTTTGATATAAAACTTTGCAATGAATTGTCCACCATTGAATCTAATTTTTTAGATTTGACAAATTTCTTCAATAATCTCGCACAAAAAATAGATACATTATTTCCTATCCCATATTCAAAGAGATTACAATATTCTGATCATCATTCATAGTTTTTGGCTTGTCTTAAGTACTTTCAAGCGAATCAAAATGAGCAATCATTTGCACTAGAAATTTCAGTTCACATTTTCTGTTCGAACTCATTTTTGAGCCTTTCATAGATTATCTCACCAGTCTCGAACATAAAACTACAATAAAATTTCTACAACTATATTTGACAAATGCATAATATGAGGATCATAATCCATAGCTTTTGACTCCTCGAAAATACTTTCGAAGAAGCCAAAAATAAATATATATTTTCTCTCGAGAATTTTGATCCACTCTGTTATTTTACATAAGAAATTTTCAATTTTATATCATCAACTTTCAGTTATATATCTTCAAGTAATTAAGGATATGGATAATAAGACAATCGTTTTGACAAACACATTACTAAATAAGGAGTGGTTCATCAATAATGATACAATTTGTAGCTCTTGTTTTTCTCAACTAACTTTCTTTGTAGAAATTTGTATCTAGTCTCAAAATATTTCTCTTTCAATTCTCAACAAGATTACATTTAGAAAGTTCAATCTAAACTTCGTATTAAAAAACTAAGTTGCCGAATAATATTGTGCTTCTTTACTACATACAATGTTCTAGAGAGTGTTTTTCGATCATAGAACAAACAAAAAAACATAGCTGAGAAAGTAATCCTTTCTCGTTATATATAGTGAAGGTTATTTCAATCAAGCATTATAACATAGAGACTGATTTCTTGAAACTAAGGCAAAAGCAAAGAAAAATAGGTTTATTGTACTAATTTCATTCGAACATAGTATTGCATTGTCATAATAAGCATTTAGTGTAACGTACCATTTATTTCTATTCAATCTATAAAAATATGAATTCAAAGGATTTAACTTTTGGGAACTTGTCCCACAACTTCTGTATGTTTCAAAACTGCTAATTTAAAACTATGATTTTTGTAAATCTTCGAAAATAACATTTTTTTTTCAAAGCAACAGACGTTAATGTTAATATTGTTTTAATATAACTGAAAGATAGAAATTTTTGCGAGTTATTAGATGACCTATAAGTTTATTTCATGAGTTAATGTTTCAACAAATAAAACCAAAAATAAATATTATTTTTATGTTTGAAAGTCACAACATATTGCAGAAAAGGGGATATTATTCGGCCAGTTTTTTAAATGGAAAGCTTCAGATTAAACATTGTAGAGAATCGAAAGGAAAATCTTTTGAGACATAAGTTTTTAAAATGGAATCTAACGGAGAAAAATACGAAATAGAAATTTTACTATTATTTATGAACTATTCGTTATTTTACATGAAATTCTTTTTTTCCTTTTGAATATTGTATTATTTAGAATAAAAGTTCGTAGTTTATTGACTCAATATTCAAGTAATATAAATTCATATTATATTGATATGCATATATTAAAACGTGCTGCAAGAAAATTACTTAAACAATATAATTTTGATTTACATGATTTTCCAAATTTAGCAATGCATGAAAAAATAACTTTTCTTAAAACACTTTTTGTAAGAAAATATTTAGAAAGAAAAAATACTTGTGATGACGAAGATGATCAATCATGGAATGAACAAATTAAAGTAAGTATTCAAATAGAACATTTATTTTTCTATTATATTCAAATGTTAGAGTCTTTTGACTCGAAAAATTTTTCAAAAGAATCAAAATCATTTTGAAAAGCAATTGTTACGATTTTCAAAGCTCAGAAATAAAGATATTTTTACCTTAATATCGTGAAAACTAGACATAGTTTCATGTAGATATACTAATCAAAGTTCTATTTTTAATAAGCCCTAGCGAATTATCCTTCCTATATAGAAGGAAAGGATTTTAAGATAAGTATTATACAGGTGTTTATTTAAATAAACATATTCAAGTATTAATACTTTTCAATGAAGAGTTATTTATACTATCGAAATTCATTTATATGAAAAACATAGACAATACTATTTGATTTACATCAGAGAAGATCTTTTATACATCACAATAGAAAGTTTTATCTAGTTGATTTATTCTTATCCTTAATATATATTATGATAGAAATTTAATCTCATATGTTTGTTGTCAATAAGTCTTAGATTGAGAAGTTCTAATACTTCTAATATTTTGTTTTCAATTGTAGAATTATGATATTTAATATAATGGAATCGAACATATAAATTGATGTTTTTATTAAAGAGATCATGAGTTTTCTATTTTTCTTTTTCCAAGGAATTAATTCATGATAATCATGATTTAAAAATAAAATTAATTGATCTCTGTATTGATTATACTGATCTTGATTCTGCTGTTGAATGGACTCGTTTTTATAATCTTGAAGATTTTGAAATTCCTGAACAAGTACAAATTCATCGTCAAAATATTCTTAAAGGTGATACAATCACTCAAACAATATCAATTAAACCATCAAGTTGTTTAACTAAACAAATAAAAGATAATATCTATAAACCAACTGTTATTCTATCAGATATTGTTTATATTGAACTTGATTCTGATGTTGATCCATTTTTGAATCGATTTGAAGTTTGTATTTGTACTAAATATTTTTTTCTTTTTGGTCTTAATTAAATTTGTTTTTTTTTTGAAAAGTGTGCTCGTTGTAATGTTGGTTCACATTTACCATTTGTTGGTTTTGATTGTGAAACATTTATGGATCCAACACAACGAACACTTAGTTCTCAAATAATATCAACAATTCAATTAGCAAGTTTATTATTATCACGTAATCAATATTTATATGGCATATTTGATATGCTTGCATTACGTTTACAATTTGATATAAAATCTTTGGCTGAATTAGCTCAACGTCTTTTTTGTTCACGAGATTTTATTCTTCTTAGTTCGTTTTAATATGAAAGATATTTGCTCAATTTTTTTATGAATTATTTCTTTTAGCATATAATTATGCTTGTGATACATCATCACTTATTGAAAATTATCCATCAATGAATGATGCACTTATGCAAGGAACAGCTGTTATTGATTTATTTCGTGTACAACAATATGTAAGTTCGTCAAGTAGCCAAAATTTCGCCAATAAAACTTTCATCAATGACGAAAGTAGACTGAACTTTCGCAAGTTGTTACTACACAATATTAATATAGGATACATGTGATCTATTGCACTAAGTATTCAGCTTAAATGGATGTACTGATCAGAAAAGCCAGTAGAGTTCTCTATCTGAAACATTCTTCATCAAATTCCATAAATGCATTATGAGGATAAAGATTTCTAAAAAAATTGTGAACAGAATGAGCGATTACCATGTATTTTACGACCTTCATTTTAAAGTTATAACCAATATAGAAAAATAAAAAAATGAAAATTTATTTCGAAAATCGATTAAAACAACCCTTTTATTTTCATTGTTGTCATGGTTATAACTTTTTGATGAAAGATCGTAAAGACGTGATAATTGCTCATTTTATTCAAAATTTTCTTTTATTTTCATTGTTGTCACGGTTATAACTTTTTGATGAAAGATCGTAAAGACGTGACAATTGCTCATTTTATTCAAAATTTTATGTTCTATCAGATGACATTATTGAAAAACCAACTTCCAGAAAACTTTCAAGCACCTGAAAAGTACAGTTTTTTTTTTATTTTTTCGAAATTTTTTCCTTCATAATGCATTTATGGAGTTCTGATATACGATGTTCTAGATAGAGAACTTCATTGACTATTCAAATTACTAGGTACATCTAAGTTAGGCACTTACAAGGGAACGTCCCAAGATGTCATATCGCTTTTGAGTCGCGATTATATTCATTCGATAGGTCCTAATGAGCAATGAAAAAGTCTTGGATGGTTTGCTATTCCGATCCTTCGTTCTTGAGATATCGAAGTTTTACTATATTTTTTAATGAAATGTCGTGGTCCCTCTTGGGTTCACTGGAAACTCGACTTTTAAATTTCGACTTGAAACTACAGAAATAAAGGTCTCAATGAGACTAGTTTATTCTGAAAGTATCAGATCTTGTGCTTGCTCCTATCGTAAAATATGAACATTAAACGTTTTGAACCATAAGTATAGCACAAAATGCAAAATGTTCATATTTTAGGATAGGAGAAAGCAAAACAAATGAAGTTTTTAGAATAAAATAGTCTCATTGAGACCTTTATTTCTGTAGAGCTTCACGTCGAAATTCGAGAGTCGAGTTTCCAGTGAACCTGAGGGGGCCACGACATTTCACTAAAAAATATAGTAAAACTTCGATATTTCAAGAACGAAGGCTTGAAAAAGCAAACTATTCTAGAATTTCTCATTGCTCACTTGGACCTATCGAATGAATATAGTCGCGATCCAAAAGTGATTTGACACCTGGGGACGTTTTCTCGTTAGTGTACTAGAAAAAAATCAAACATACGCTGTACTTATTCAGATTCAAATTGGCGAAATTTTGGAATACAAGTTCTTTATTTTTTTTCAAAGTACTTTAATATTTCTATGAATTATATTAAATAGATTTCTGAACATTTTCCTCAAGTATTTCCATATTACGATCCATTATTAAATTCAAAATCTCGTGGTTTAAGTGAATTAGTTCGTCTTTGTTTTGGTAAACCACTTGATAAATCTATGCAAACAAGTGATTGGCGAAAACGACCACTTAAACAGGCACAACTTATATATAGCGGTTAGTTATAAGAAATAATTTAAATAAGAAATAAAAGTAAAAAACTGTCAAAATATTCTTTCTTGTTCTTTCTTAAATTGTTTAGTATTAGATGCTCGAGTTCTTGTTGATATTGCATTATTAATTGAAAATCGTACACATAGTTTACAAATACCATGGTCATGGTCGCATTTTAAAGGTTATATATGGACAAACAAAGCATTTAAAAAACGAGTTGGTATGAGTCAAAAATTAGAGAATAGTTAAAAGATTTTTGTTATTTGTATATTATTTTTGATAGAAATAAACATTTAGATATTATTGTTGAAAGAAGTATTTTTCATTGTTATTATATATACATAACTTTTCTTTTTTTTGTGTTATTTTTTAGATTAATTATTTTTATGATGTTTAGTGCACCTGTAACAGCTATTAAAATTCTTCCTAATAATCGAATATGTCTAGCTGGTAAAATAAAAGAAAATATCTTTTTTTTTTTTTTTTTTCTTTAAATCAATCTAATTAGGTACTGGTCCTTATGTACTTGCTTTTGATTTGACAACAAATCAACAATTATTACAAGAAAAAATCTTAGTTGATTCGATTGTACATGGTTTTGAAGCTCGTAAGAATAAGAATGACTTGTTTTATTAGTTTTCTTTTAAATACAATCGAAATATTATTTTCTTTTGTTTTATCTAAAGGTCAAATAACAAAAGAAACTGATGATTCTTCGTATATTATTGTTGTCTTTGGTCAACGAACATTCTCAATCATTCAATGGTCTTCAGCATCGTAAGTTAATTGAAATTTTATTCAATATCTGTATTATACAGAATAGTATGATTTAAAATATGTGTTTTTTTTGTTAGTCGTTCATCATTGACAACAATAATACCTCAAATACAATGCCCTGCCTGGATAATAAGTGCCCTTATTGTTGATCTAGATTCTTTAAATCAAGTAATGCTATATAGTTAAATTTTTCTCTTTTTATTTTTGTATCTAATTTATTATTTCTTAGTCTTTAACAGTTCTATTTGGCACAGCATTAAATCAAATATATCGTTATAATAAATCCTTCGAATTGATTCAATCCCTTAAATATACAACACTTTATTCATCATGTCTTTTTCATCATATGAATGAAAGTATTATATTTGCAGCAGGTACAGTTTTTGGTCAATTAATTCTTTATGAACAAGATTCAAATGATTATTTTCATGAAAAATCAAATGTTTCACATCATAATGTAAATCTAAACAAAAAAAACATAAAATTAAAAATAAAAAAAATTCTTTTTCAGGGTGCTATTTTTGGGATAACATATTATGAAAATTTTCTTTGTACAGTTGGTGATGATCGTACAGTAAAATTATATAAATTTCATAATAATCTTGAATTATTAGCATCATTCTTTGCTCATGAAGCACGTATATGGCAATCATGTTTAACTTCAACATATATATTAACATGTGGTGAAGATTCTTCTATACGTTTATGGTCACATAAATCAACAGGTGAAATATTGCGTTGTTTTTCTGTACATCGATGTAAAAGTGTTTGGTGTATGGATATATTAAGAGATAATGATAATAATAAACCATTAATTATAATTAGTGGTTGGAGTGATGGTGGTGTACGTCGTTATCATCTTGATGATGTACCTATTGATTCACAAGAAGTTATTTTATTAAATAATATTATTCAAAATGATTATCCACGAAATGTTATTTTTTTAAATTCTATTATAATGATTGTTCAAATGAATAGTGGACAATTATTAAAAATCGATCAACAAAATGTAACGTTATTTTATGATGGTAGAAATATATTAAAAAATGGTTATGTTAAAATGAATGTTGCTCATGATGGAAATCAATATATTGCTATTGGATCATTAAATGGTTATGTATTGATATTTGATCAATATGGTAAATTAATAAATGAATTTCAAATAGATATTAAGAAAAATAATAAAATTTTACAAATTTTATGGTTAAATAATACATTATCATCGAAATTACTTGTTTGTATTCCAGATGGAATTATGGTAAATAGATATTTAAAATTTTTCCTACAAATAAGTAAATACTGTTAGAAGGCTTAAAACCATTTCATTAAAATTAGAGTTAATACATCCACTCTGAAATTCTATCAGTTTGAAAATATTTACATTTAGAATTACTATTCTAACAATTTATTTAAGATAGTTTTACTGAAAAAATGTATTTGTATTGACAGATACATCTTCAATAGATAACTTTTTTTCTTTTCTTATAATAATATAGACGATATATGCCATAGAAAGCGATGAATATCATGTTATCCGTATGCTTTCTATCGACAAACTTTGACATATACTGTTGAGTTTTGCTTAAACTTACGAGGGAATCACTGCGGCTATTATCTTCCAGTATCAATGATTTTTTTATTTGTTTAAGGATACTACATAGTGTTCCGATGAAAATCTCAAAGAATTTGAATTCCTAATAAGATTTGACTAATCTACCAAATTTTTCGTATGTCTATTTTCAGGATTCCAGATTTTCGGAAAACTTCCATTTTCGAATTTTTGATCTAAAACTTTGTGCATATAGAGAGCACAACTAGATTAGCTTCGATAAAAATTTCAAAAGTTTTGTACAAAGTCTCTTCGAGATATAAAGCTTACAAAAGAAAATGCATATTGTATACACCATAAATGAAAAACAGTCTATATCTTGACAGTCTCAAATCTTGAAGAGACTTTGTTCAAAGCTTTTAAATTTTTTAAGATATTCAATACTTAAATCCGCAATATTTAGACTAATTAGAATCTATAGAGTTTCAGAATGACCTAAGCACTGTTATTACCTACGTGTCTTTTCACGTTGCTAAGGAAATGTATCCAATAATTTTTGCCCTACCTCCCTCACAGCCCTGGTTGCCTAGGATCTAGGGAAGGGAAAATCTCGATTTAAACTTACAGTTCCTATTTTCTTTGAAAATATACATGAGTTCCAAGAAACTAAAAAGCAAAATTCTCAAGAGATATTATACTGCTTTTTTTATTTCTAAGAAAATAACTTTTTGCATGTCTTCACTTCATTTTAACATATTGTGTTTATACATAGACAATCTTTTTGTTTCTTATATTCTTTCTCATTGTGCACTAATTTCCATCATTTTTTCTACTGATGGTCTCACACGAGTACATGTAATTATGTGGTTTCCTTTTTCATACTATTCTTATATTCATATGTAGGTCGTAATTCAAGAAAAAAGAAAAGAATAAGTTTCAATCAGATCGAAATATTACCTTTTTCTTTTTTTTAATATAGCTTTAGAAAAAAAAGTTAAATATAGTTGATACTCGTAGAGCTAATTTTATCATATTTTACATTTGAAAATTTTTCTAAATATTTTCATGTCTAGATTAGTTATTCACTTTGACAATATCATCGGAGAATGACAATTAGAACATAACCGATCGTTAAAGTATTAAACTATTGTGGATTTTTTGTCCAATTTGAAACACATGAAATCAAAATTCTTTTTTTTTATTAATCATGAAGTTTTTGTTTGTTCTAAATTTAGTTTGTTTACAATATAATCAATCAACCTGCAACCGTAGAACATTATTTAGAAGTTTTACCTGATTTTGAACAACGTTGGCCAAATACATGTTTATATCTTGATCAATATAATTTATTACTTATTGGCGATCGACAAGGAAATATTCTTTCATATGATTTAAATAATCAATTAAATTGTTTTATATATCAAAAATTAGAACGTTTACATGGTGTAAATGGTACATCATCAATATCAATTGATGAAAATACAAATCTTATACGTTCATGTGGTCGTGATGGTTATATAAATATATTTTCTATAAATAATGAACAACGAAAATTAATTCATCAATCAATATTTACAATAACATCAGATATAACATGGCTTGATCGATTTATAAAATATCCATCATTAATAACATGTTTTACAACAAATAATTTTTCTTTATATACATTAGATGATCAAACAAAACGACGTTTAATGCATGTTGAATGTGGTGGTGGTCATCGTAATTATGATTTTATTATTGAAAAAAATTTAAATGCTTTTTTTGTTTATGTAAGAAATAAACAAGTTTATTTAGCAAAAAAAAATTTAATGAGAATATTAAATGAATCAACATGTTTATCAATAATACCACCGACACATGGAACAGAAATTCGTTGTGTTAAATTATTTCAAAAAAATAATTGTTTATATATGATTACCGGTAGTGAAGATACACAAATTAAATTATTTTCATTTCAGGTATGATGATTATGAAATTTAATTGATAGATGTTTCAATTTATAAATGAAAAAGAAAAGAAAAGTTTGATTAGAAAAATCAAATTGATCATTTGAACATTGATAAAATTTCAATAGGAAATAAATGAAGTTGTTCAACTTATGTAATTCTCCCATTGGTTTTCTCATATGATGAAATATAATTGGAAAAGCTTCTAAAAAGGATCAAACATGGTAGTTCTTAGGTTTCGAAAGCTAAGTTTTTAATAATACCATGTTAATGAGAATGTAATGTGGAATTACCGCAGTTAAAAGTATAAGGAAAAAAAATGCATTTTTTTTTTCGGTTTATCTGATGCTTTTAAGTTTTTTAAACCATGATTGTATTAATATAATACAAAATTCTAACATTAAAATAAAAGCTTCAAAAATCGATATTTTACATTCAGCAAGTTAGAAATATGAGAGAGACACTTCAGCCGACAACAGTTTTTAAGAATAAGTATCAGGATGATGAAAATATCATTTCATTTTCGAAAGAGATAAGTTTGAAGTTTGAGCTTAAAATTTCTTAGAAACATTCAAGATCCATAGACATAGCGTATTTTCAAACGAATAGAACTTTAATACCTTGTGAGTATTCTTCCTCACATCTCTTGTATTCTTAAGTTTCTTCATTGCTTGACAGTTTTTGATGAGTTTCCAACACAAAAAAAAAAAAGGCAAACAATTAAAGTTGATTTATTCTTCAAATTGAAATCTTTATTTTAGATAGAGAAGTCTAATCCAAAATGTGAACATATTTCAACATTACAATCTCATTTATCAGCTGTTTGTGATGTAATTGTAATTGATAATTTATTTTTTTCATGTGGTGCTCGAGCACAAATTTTTGCTTGGCAAATGAAAAATAATATTGTTATTCGATCTGGTCATTTTATGCTTCATCCATTACGTCGACGTCATGGCGGTGGTGGTGGTGGAAATATTAATAATGATGAAAATGAAAAAGATAATTATGATGACGATCATGGACTAGATGTTAGGTACGAAAAGATGAAAAATACTACTTTATATCCTTTTGTTTTGTTATTCATTCTATCTCATTTAGATTTACTAGTATTGCAGCTATTCCTATGAGTGAATCTGGTAATTATTTATTATTTGTTACTGCATCTGATGCTATATTACGGTAATTATTTAAATCTTATCTTATATTAATGTAAAATTCTTTTTTGTTAGTGTTTTTCGTTATACAATTTCATCGAATCGTTTTACATTACTTCAAACATGTACACATTCTGAATATTGTCAATTACGTGTAAAAGTTTATTCAAATCGTTATATTGCATTTGTTTCATCGACAGATGGTCTACTATGTGCATATGATTTTTCATCATTAGATAATACAATACGTTCAATATCTATTAAACTTCATCAATCAGGAATTAATGATTTTGATTTAATTGAAATCAATGAAAATAATCTTGTTCGTTTAGCAAGTGTTGGTGATGATGGTTCAATACATGTTTCTACATTTGATATTAATAATTGGATTTGGCAGCGAGAATATTCAAAAGATAATATTCATCAATCACCTGCAACAGGTAAAATTAGTAGAAGTGTAAACCGATGCATTGATCGATGGAAGTTTTTTTGATGAATTTAAAAAAGAAGAATTTCTTAATTTCATGAAATTTTGAAATGAAAGAGAGAGAGAAAACGATGGTATAAAACTTATTGACAGGAACCTAGACTGTAATTTCTTCAAAAATTGATTTAAAATATCGGAAATTTCATAAAATTAATGATGTTTTTTTTTGTGTCGTTGCTAAATCGCTTAAGCGGCGGCGCGGCTGATCGGCTTACAGCTCTAATAATTACTTTTCGCGTGACTTTTTCTTATTGTTTTTGAAGGTATTCGTTTTTTAAATTCAACTATGTTTATTTCAATTGGTATTGATCAAAGACTTAAATTATGGACAATTAAAAATGCTGAACAAATATTAGAATTAACAAAAAATTATTTAGTTGATATTCGTGATATTCTTTCGATGGATATGATTTTTTGTGATGAAAAAAATGAATTTGTTATTGTTATAGTTGGTGCTGGTGTTCAAACAATTCAATTTGATTTAACAAATTATTTGTTTTATTCATAGGTTATTGATTTGTTTTGGTTTTTTTTATTCTAGATGTTGTTCTTTTAAGAAAAAAATCATTCTGAATGAAATGCATATTTGACTTTATCGAATGGAAAAAGGTGATCGTTCGTGGTTGTCACCTTTTACTGGTTTTTGGAGTTGTTGCATCACTTATATTGCAACCATCGGGTAAATTTTAATATTGAAACTAAATAAGAAAAAAAAAAGAATTTTAACGTTTGATTTTGATTGCATTTCTTATTCAGATCTTCGCACAGCTATATATGACACATCGAATTATCTTTATTATATTGCTTATGGTCTACTCGTTTATTTATCGCTTTTCTTCTATTTTATAACTTGTTACATTGACCCGGGTTATGTACCATATAGACGAGTATGACTAAACATCTTATATACTAAAATAAAATAATTTATTCTAATAATTCTAATTTACTGAAACAGATACCTACTTGGAGTGGAGGAATGGTATCAACATCAGACGATGATGATGATCATGATCATGAAAATGAAGGTAATGAACAACATCAACGAGTAACAACTAATAACAATTATTTACGCAAATGTCTTTTGTGCAATATTGAAGTAAAAAATAAATTATGAAAATAACAAGAAGTTTTTTTTTTTTTATATTAAATTTTTCTTTAGCAACCGCTTCGAAGTCATCATTGTGACTTTTGTAATCGATGTGTACTTAAATATGATCATCATGTAAAATTTTTTTTTTATAATTTTATAATCATAAAATTCTTTCGGTTTTTTTCTGTTAGTGTCCATATTTAGAAACATGTATCGGTGAATATAATCATCGTTATTTTTGGTGTTTTCTTCTTACAACAGATATACTTATTGTATGGTCAATTATGTTATCCAGGTATAATTATTGTATGTGTTATTTTTGATTTATTACACTATTATTTTTGTTTAGTGGTTCATTTGTACCATTCAGTGATTGGTCATCATGGTTACATATAAATAAATTTCGGTTATTTGCTATGCATGTTCTTATTATATCGTTATGTGCAACAACAATACTTTTGTGTATTCATTCATTTTTTGCTTTAACTAATTCAACAACATGGGAACGTGTATCAAGACATCGTATAACATATTTAAATCGTTTACCAGATGAAGATCTTAATCCATTTCATCAAGGTTATTGTCATAATTTTTTTTATTCATTTTTATGTCATCGTATAAAAGAACAACAATGGGATATTGTTTATAAAAGACGTGTAGAAGAACATGTTACTTTGTATATGTAATTATATGTATTATTATTCTATTGAAATAAACGAAAGAAACATCATCAAGTTTATATGATTAAAAGAAAACAGAACAAGAAGATATTTTCTTTAATTATTTTCTAATTCTATTTATTTCAAACGTTAAAATCAAATATTATTGTTGTCATATCGAGAAAGCATATATATATATATATTAAATTTCTTTTCAGCACATAAAATTTCATCAAACAACTTTGAAGATTTCGAAAAATAAAAAGAATCATAATCATTTCATATATGAATCAATCATTCAGGCAATCGATTTTCTTGATCTATGAAAAGAAAAACATTTCCTATAAAAATGTTGCATGAATAACTGAATACAAAATATTTAGAATTAAACATTTTAAAGCTCTCTTACAATTAGTAGACAAGAAAAAAAAAACGCTGGCTTCTAATCGAGTGTATTCACTAGGAAGGCGTAATCAATTAAACTTTGCTTGAAGTAAACAGAAAAAACATGATAATTTTGTCCTAGTCTATAAAAACTACGAGATAAATCATCATCTGTTTATTAATACTAAATCAAGACTTAAAGACAAACAAGTTTTCTCGCTGAACCATTTCACTGATATTTTAAGCTTTTCTGAATTTTCGCAACAAAAAAAATTCTTAGAATCAATTGCTTTCAAATAATGAATAAATTTGAATCGATCTGAAAAAACATATGAATTGTATTGAAGAGAATATTAAGGTGCAAATCTATCGGTGCATGTAAAATGATTGGAACAGTTTGTTAGTACCATTGGAAGGAAAGAAAGAAAAATGTACTTATTTTTTTTTCGACGAATACAAAGTGCAATGTCATGATTATGACGTCAACTACGGCATTACTGTCGCGGCATAGAAAAAAAAACAATTCACTTCTATTTAAAAGCCTTCCATAAGTGAACACGTCTGCTATTTTATTTTATTCAACTTCAAATAGATTTTGTTTGCATTTAGCATGGGTTCTTCACCGTAAGTTTAAAAAAAAACTACATAAATATAATTGAAATTATTAGTTTTTCCTCTATTTCCTTGGTAAATGATATTGATTTCGTTTTATTTAGATCTACTACTGCTAATAAAACTGAAGAAAAAGTTGTAAGCAATGGCGTAAATCATGATTCACCTATTGCGACTAAAGGCTTTGCCGTTGAAAGTGATTCTTCTCCATTTAAATTATTTGATTTTGAAAGACGTGTACCAAAAGCAGATGATGTATTCATTCGAGTTCATTACTGTGGTATATGTCATTCAGATATTCATCAAGCCAAAAATGAATGGCACACTGCAAAATATCCTATGGTACCAGGTCATGAAATTACTGGTGTTGTTGAACAAGTTGGTTCAAATGTTCGAAATTTTCGCGTCGGTGATCATGTTGGTGTTGGTTGTATGGTTGATTCATGTCTACATTGCAATTCATGTTAGAATTTTTTATTTATTTTTTATTATTTCCAATGGTTAATCTGTTGAATAATTTTAGGTAAGAAGAATCTTGAACAATATTGTCCAGACGCATGTTATACATACAATAGTACTGAACTTGATAAAGTAACACCAACATATGGCGGTAAATATCATTATGAAAAAAAAAAAAAAATTATTATTATTTCTATTATATTACTTGTAGGTTATTCAAATTTCATTACTGTTAAAGAACGTTTTGTTTGCAAAATTCCTAAAAATTTACCATTAGATGGTGCTGCACCATTACTTTGTGCTGGTATTACAACTTATTCACCTTTACGACAATATAATGTTGGAAAAAATACACGCATGGGGTATTTAAAATGATTGAATATCAACTATTTTTCGAATTCTATAATATTTATTTTAGAGTTATTGGTCTTGGTGGTCTTGGTCATATGGCTGTTAAATTTGGTGTAGCTATGGGTGCAGATGTTACTGTTATTTCAACATCAGAATCAAAACGTGATAATGCAACAAAACTTGGTGCGAAAGCATTTCTTGTTTCAAAAGATGCAGAACAATTGAAAGGAGCAGAAAACTCATTTCATTTTATTATTGATACAGTATCAGCACCACATGATGTTGTTTCTATGATTAATTTATTATCATTTCAAGGTGTTTATTGCATGTATGTATCGATTTTTTTTTTTTTGTTAATTGACCTTTGAAAAGTCAAAATTATATTTTTAGGGTCGGTGCATCACCAAAACCAGTAGAAATCCCAACATTTGTTCTTTTGTTTAAACGACCAATTGTTACTGGTAGTCTAATTGGTGGAATGAAAGAAACACAAGAAATGCTTGATTTTTGTGGTAAACATGGAATAACATGTGAAATCGAAAAGATAGAAGCAACACCAGAACAAATCAATGTAGCTTATGATCGAACACTTAAATCAGATGTGAAATATCGCTTTGTACTAGATATATTAAATGCATTTAAATAATTATTTCTGACGTTTTTTTTTCTTTTGACATTATTAAATAGCTCTTGATAACTGATGTTTAGAAAATTAGTTAATAAAATCAGAATATCATTTTCATTATATCATAAATACCTGAATTTAATCACATATGAAATTAGAAAACAAATATTAGGAAATAACGAAACTGAATTGTGTGATGACGTTATGTCAAAATGATTGGATATTAAAGAATGAATTTCTCATTAACGAATGATTGATATTTATTTACTTCCCGGTTTTTTATATTAAAAGTTACGCTTCTCGTGACAACATCATTGTTGATTATTAGTTGATTTTTATTTTATTGAACAAAAGGCTTTTCAATTTATGTTATGATAAAAGTTATTTTTCTAATTAAAATGTTGTTGTATTATGTCGAGAAAAGCCAATATATAAATTCATTATATCTTTTTTCATATAAGAAACGAAATATATAAAATACAACGTTTGTTTTTAATGAAGTGTTGCATAAAAATCAGAGTTATTAAATATCCTATTCACATACTTCAATTCTTAATATTTATGTACAAAAGAAAATATGATAGTAACAAATTAAAAATTTTTACATGATATGTTTATAACTCGTCACAGATTATTTTGATGAATTTCATATGATTTTGTCATCGTCATCATCATCATCATTACATGAAACTACGCAGTTATTTTTCGTTATGTTGAGATGATGCATGTTTGTTATTAATAAGTTGATTGACTCTTACTAACAGCATCATAGTACAGAATGTGTTTTATTTAGAAAAAATATATTACTTCCTTTTTTTTTCAAAATGCAAAAGAAAGTACGTTGTTTTATAATCTTACTTAAAGAACGTGCATTTATTTTTTTGATTGATTTAATATAAATGTCAGATACAGCGTCATATATTCAGTATAAGACCTTTCGATGCAGGGATGATCCGAGGCAGCCAATATTGCGGAATTGTTGCAACTTTTTGGGGGGGTTGTCCCGGATTTTTGTAATGGAAGGAAAATTTTTTTCTAACAAAACGCAAGAAAAAATCTTCGACTCCGCTGAGAAAGAAGAAAAATTTTCGATTATTGGGGGTTGTCACAACCCCCAGTCGGGTCATCCCTGTTTCGATGAGTCAAATATCAACCAACAATAATAAAATAATGCTGATTAAGCAGAAAGAAGAAAAAGGAATAATTTCTCTTGTTGACAACACAAAAAATTGCCATAAGATGACATATTGAGTCTGCGAAAGATTGCTATCATTATAGTACAGCAGCAGGAGGAACATAATCGCTGCCAATGTTGCGAATAGCAACTATACAAAGCAAAATTAATATGTATGAAACATATGTCAAATTCAATGCAGACGCTGTTTTATGCTTGTTCTTACTAAAATAACGTTCGAGCAATACACTCTCTTTTTTTTTTTGATCGAAAAATCTGTCTTATGATTTGAAATAATATCTATTAACATTAATAAACGATAAAGTATACAATACGACCTCTTTTGATCAATTCCTCAACTAAACTAATGTTTGCTTTCTCTCTCTTCTGCTAATATTCATTCGAGTAATAGTATGTGACCGAAAGCAAAACTGAACACCGATATAAAACCGGTCAATATAGTTGGTAATCATTTGTTTGAATCATAGGTGCTCAATGTCATTTTTTTGGTTTCCTTTCAAATTTCGATTTCATTTTTGTTCAATTATAATTATTCTATTCATTCTTTCTTGTATTTCTATCGTTAGTGTTACTTCTTAAAAAGTTTTACTAGACTGTATGTTGGTGGAGTATTTATATTTGGGACTTATTGTACTTGTATTGTCACGAGCTCTTCACAATAAGCATATGATGAATATATAGAAATATATTGCTTCGTCAATAGACATTTGATGAAAAAAAAACAGAACAAGAAGACAATTGATTAAGATAGATAATAAGAATTAAATTCTTGTTTTCTATGGTTAACTATTGCGACTGACTTTCATTTAGAACCATGATGGAAAAGTTGTCAGTAATGCTATTACTCCTACACTAAGAATTGTTGTTCGAAGTTATGTTATCATTAATGTTTTTGCATCATTCAAATTACTTAAGTTCGAACGACGTATAATCCGAGTCGATGATGTGTTAATTCGCATTCATGATTAGTGCTATTTGTCATACTGATATCCGTCAATTGCATAACTATTGAAGTTATTAACCAAATTAGTTCTAGTATAAAACATTTTCGTATAGGTGATCATGTTGGAGTTACTTGCATTGGTTACCTCATGCCCCTATTGCAAATATTATGTGTAGCTTTTACATTATGGTATTAAACTTGATAAAGTAACATCAATACATGGAGATAAACATCATTACTGCTAGAGAATATATTGTCTACTAGCTTCTTAAATATTTATCATTAGATGCAGCGGCACCATTACCGTGTGTTGGCATCACAACTTATTCACCTTTACGACAATATAATGTTGGAAAAAATACACGCATGGGGTATTTAAAATGATTGAATATCAACTATTTTCGAATTCTATAATATTTATTTTAGAGTTATTAGTCTTGATGGTCTTGGTCATATGGCTGTTAAATTTGGTATAGCTATTTGTGCACATATTACTGTTATTTCAACATTAGAATCAAAACATGATAATGCAACAAAACTTGGTGCTAAAGTATTTCTTGTTTCAAAAGATGCAGAACAATTGAAAGGAGTAGAAAACTCATTTCATTTTATTATTGATACAGTATCAGCACCACATGATGTTGTTTCTATGATTAATTTATTATCATTTCAAGGAGTTTATTGCATGTATGTATCGATTTCTTTTTGTTTATTGACCTTTGAAAAATCAAAATTATATTTGTAGAGTCGGTGCATCACCAAAACCAGTAGAAATCCCAACATTAATTCTTTTATCTAAACGACCAATTGTTACTGGTAGTCTAATTGGTGGAATGAAGGAAACACACACAAGAAATGCTTGATTTTTGTGGTAAACATGGAATAACATGTGAAATTGAAAACATAGAAGCAACATCAGAACAAACTAATATAGCTTATGATCGAACACTTAAATTAGATGGGAAGTATCACTTTGTACTAGATATATCCAATACGTTTAAATTGTTTCGATTAATCTTTCACTGTTTTCTTTATGAGAAAACTATTTACAACTAATTTTAGAAATATGCTTATAATAAACATTTTAATATTGTTTTTCTTTTATTATCTGATAATTACATGATCTTGACGATTTCTCAAACGAATTAGATAGAAGATTAAAAAAAAAAATAATTTTAGTTCAGAAAATAGCTAAGAAACGATGAAGTATTTTTTTATTCTCAATTTTATTTGTCGCATCACTCGTCGTTTATAAAGTCATGGTAAACAACTAAAAACAAATTATTCAAAAAATAAAAAAGTCAATGAAAAATTATTAATTGCGTCCATCGATTCATGTATTACTATATAACGACCTTAGAAACATATAATGTAAGAGGTAAATTTTCTTTTTTTGTGTGTGCTCATCGAACGGTGACAATCATTACACATATACATGCATGTTTAGCCATGTAAAAAGGGGTATTAAAAATGACGCGAAATATGTTTATTTCTCTTGTATATTACACGTACACGTGTGCTTCGATATGTATTTATATTAAAGGTATACTAAAAACAAACATCGGTGTAACTGCGCATTCAGAAAAAAATGACATCGACAACGACAGTTAGTACGATTGTCAATGAATCAGACACAATAAGAAGTTCTACTGAATTAAATGAGAAAAAGGAATTTAATAAACGTTTTAAGCCAACTAATCAAAAACAAAATAATCAATCCAAAAATCAGAAACAGCATCAACCAGGATCAGTCAATGTACAACCATTACGAGCTGACCATATAAAAGAACATCGATTATGGGCACTTGCTTCATCAATTGTTTGCTTTTTTATGATTGCACCTTTTATTTGTTTATATCATAGCCGTCGTATACGGGAAATGAAAACAAAACAAGAATTAACTCGAGCTCAATCATTATCTACTCGCGTTAACAATATGCTTATGATATCAAATATTATGGGCCTGATAGTATGGGTTGCCATAATTTTCGTTATTGCTGTACTTTTTATAATGGGCGCTCTTGTTCGTTAGGTATTGCCACAATTTTTTTTCTTCTAATTATGTTTAGAAGCACATTTTGTTTTGTCTCTTTCATACCATTTTAAATAAATGTTTGCTGATTTCTCCTCGGTGAAGGACAAGGACTAATCATACATATATACATATATTCCATTTGTAATACATATAACCATAGCGTATATCGGTAAGAATGAGCAGAGAGACGAAGAGAGAAAGAAAGGAATATCAGGCATATACCAAGTCATTCTCTTTTTTTTTGTCGTCTCTTTTTTTTCGCTTTTTTTTATATAAAATGAGCGTATAATGTCTGCCGTTGCTTTACAGCAGCCTTATATTGATCAATCAATTGATCATTCGTCCTCACTTTTCTTCTTGTAATCTGTTTTTGCCCTTTGCACTTCTTCCAGTTTTTTCCTTTTCAACCTTGTAACTAATGAAACAAGCTATATAAGCTACATTAAACCTCAAATAGTCGTGCGTCGTCTTGTGTCTAGCATACACATACAGGTGATCAACAATGGCAGCAGCCGTCAGCTCCTATTCACCAAATTTATACCATCAACAATCGTACCTCAATTCAACATTATCATCGTTTTATGCTGCTCAATTTATTCCTAACAACTATTATAGACCAAAATCACAAAAGCAACAAGAACAACAACAAAAACCTCGGACACCGACGCCGACAAAAACAACTGAAAAGGTTGATTCCAATATTCAACAATTACGTCCTCGACGTGAACCTCGCATTCGTCGGCAAGTAATTGTATTGCCAACACCGGAGCCTATCTATCGACAAGTACGACATCGATTGCCAACACCTGAACGACAAGTTATTCAACGAACAGTTATTCAAAAAGCTAACGGCGATGTTATTGTTCAACAGCAACGACATAGAAAGAACATAAGAAGTCATAGTCTTTCAGGACCTATTACACAAATAGGCACACATCGTGTACCACAAGTTAAAATCGATTAAAAAATTTTCTCATTTAGAATTGATTAGATTATATTTATTGCTTTGGTGGTTCATTTTCATTTTTCTTATATTATAATTTTTGTACTCCTCTTAGAAGTATTATATTTGTATAGAAATTATAAAAAGCAAAAAAAAAAATAAATAAATGAAATAGATAGAACTCAATAGAGCAAGAAAACTTATTCTACATTTAATTCATTTCCAAATCGGTCAAATAGATGTTTAATTTGAAATCAGGTGTACGAATGACTTACTTGGATAATGTTCATTACGTACTAAGAATGATATTTCTATTTAATAATTTTTAATGAACAAAAACAAAACAAATAAAATGAGTCTGATATTTGATTGTGATAATAATAACGAATGACCGTAACAGTCGTATGTACTGATCAATCAAATGTTTATTGATTGGTATCTATCATTTTAACAATGACCATGATCAATAATATTTGCTGTAGTATTCGAGGCCTTATTCGATAGATTTTCATTTGTCTCGTTCAATACAGTAATATGAATTAGACTGATGCGAAAAGCGTAAAAGTCCTTTATGACTGTGCCGCCAGTAGAATTATATTGATTAAAATCAACATAGGTAATCTCTGAAGAATCTACTTCATTGTTATCAAAATTGATCATACCTATAGCACTAACAATAATGAGCCATTTTTTAATGCAATACTTTCAAATATTTGCTGATATTTGTAGTAATAATGACCTATCTTTACAATTGTGTATTATTCTATAACATTCTAGAAAATTCGTTTTAAGTAATTTTTATTCAAATCGTGAATATTCGAAAGTAATAATACCGAGTTCTAGGTTGTAGTTTGCTGTATCATATACAATCTATACAAGAAAATTTCTTGATACACGATTTTATTTTATAATAAAATATCTGATGACATCATGTATACATATACAGTAAGTTTTCAAAAAATATTATTAATCTAATGATGTCTCCTTGTGTTATTTGATAAAATATATGTTATATATTTGATTTAAAAAAAAATGAATCTAATTTTTGAAAGTTCTCCTGCAAAGTTGTGTTTTTTTGTCATTGAATTATTTCTAAATTTCATAGTTAAAACTTAGTTGAATATTTTCGTAATATTCGTTGATCTCATGAAATGAGATTTTTATTTTGTACCTTGTAACAAATGATTTTTTATTTTTTAAACATAATGTTTTTGTCTTTTATTTTCGTTCGAAAGCAAATATAAGAAGAACTTACCTAATCTGAAATGATACAAGAGTCATTAAAAAGAACAAATTATTCATGCCTGTTATTTGTGTTCGGATATAAAAAAGTAATCTATGTCAATAACGATTAAAAAAAGGAAAATAAGAATGTAGAATCAATATTACAAAATAATACCACTGAAAAAAAAATAATTATTAATATGTCAATGTTAACTCTGCTTTCATATTTTTCGACCAATATATTAAACTAACGGAATTTATTTTTCTTATTCTATTACAAAAATAGTGAATCTACGATAACTATTATACTCTAAAACTATAGCTAAATTAATCTACAGAATACTTTTTAATAGTGGTCGATTAACTTTCGTCAAATATTAGTACATTCATTAGAAACATTTTATGATATAATGAATAATGTTAACGTAAGATATACATTAAAATCTTCAAGCTAATGAAGATTAGACAATATAATTAAGTTTTTTAACTCTTTGATTTTTGTAATCAGATACTGGTATCAATAATAGTTATCCAAGTTGTACTTGGTAACTTCTCGAAAAGAAAAATATGGCACGATTATTACCTGTATCGACCACATACAGATATCTGTTAGAATAACATTTGACACAGTGAGAGTTATAAAGTAAACTGGAATCTAATCCAAAAAGTTTCATTTCACTCGTTACAATAGTACTATTCGTAGCAATTGATTATCATAATTCCGTTGTACTATATAGTTATAATATAATTGGCCAGAGAAATCATAGTGTTCAATAAATCAATAATAATACTATAAGAATAATAAAAGTGTGAAGATGAGTAATCTTAGTCATATCTAACTATTATTACGATAGTATTAGCTGTATTAGTTGGTGTTTACAACATTACATAACGGTTTCTATACACGTTTGCATACAAATTTCTATTGTGGTCAACAAAGATAGCATAGGTGTTAATCACAATGCTATTCCTATCGACAATATAGTGATTTTTTGCAACTCCCTATAGATCCTCTTTGAGAAACAAAGTCAACTGCTATTTGACCCACATTTTTCTGTTATACCAGCCATTTTAGTGCGATTCAATGGTTATTACTTAATACATTAATTGGAAGAATCAACTACATAGGTCGTATTGAAAGAATAGTTACCTTGATTAGATATATTATCAGGTGTTTTATTACTAGCGACAGTTACGTCTATCGAATTCCATCGCAATAAACCTATCTAAACATGAATTGACAGAATCAGTGTTTTGCTTTACCTAGTGCAGTCAGTTAGAAATTTTCAAATAATTACTCACCTTCTGCTCTAGCTGTTGTTGTTACTGATGCTGCTAAATTTTTTAATGGATCTAAAGATTAATTTGTTATTAAATATCTTTGTAATTTTTAAGTCAGTAGTCTATTAGTCACAAAAAGTGCTATCTTTCCTCATAAGCCAAATAGTAGTCTATGCAAGCAATTCTTCTTTCAAACTGGTATTAATTACATTGCTCTTTTAAACAAGTATCATAGAAATGAGTTTTTTTTGCTAATCAATACACTTTAAAAAAAAAATTATGCATCCAAATTAATTGTCGTTTATTTTGTTTGTTGATGTCTCTGATGACTGTACACGACACGTAAGAACTGGCGATGATATTGGGTGATCCAAAAAGTATTTAAACAAAATGTTTGTGCACTTCTAACTCACTAGAAAACATTTCCGACGAGTCAAAATCTAAGAGTTAGAACCAAAATTTTGTGCTCTTTTCGAATATGGGATTATAAATTTTGTGACAGTTTTTGTTCGAGAGTAGTAAAATACCCTTTGAAAAGCACCACAAATTAGTTTGGATGGAAAGTTTTTTTTTTGTATATTCCCTACTGCAGTTAGAAACTATAAGTTAAGATCTTTATCTATATATAAGTTTGTATGTCAGAAGTTATTCTACAGATGTACTATTTAGAGTTTTTTTTTGTCTTTTGACAAGGCATCTCAAGTTTTGTTTTTCCGACATACTCATTGTTGAAACTATTGACAATCGTTTTACGTTGAAAGCAACTCTTGCAAAATGCTTGTAACCTCACTTGGATAAAAACTACAGCTTAGTTCAATGTCACATGTTGAAAAATAGTGTCCGCTCTACAAAACAACTGACTCTGACAATTTTCAGCATGTGTCTTCACTACCCTTGAAGAAAAAAAGATAAAAACAACATTTCTAATGCTATATTCAAATTCTAATCATGACCTATAGTTTTTGGCTTTTCTGAAATACATTCAAGTAGACTGAAATGAATAAACATGTTTGAAGAAAACCTTGGCACCTAAAATTCTGTTCAAACTAATTTTTTGAGCTTTTCAAAAGATTAATTCACTACTGTGGAACAAAAACAGAGACTAGGTCTCTAAGTCTATATGCAAAAAGAGCACAAAATTCTCACTCTAACCCATAGCTTTTGACTTATCAGAAATACTTTTTAGTAGGTCAACAGTGAGCAAGCATCTTGTTTAAAAGCTTCTTGATTATCCGTTACTACTAGATAAATGTACCCAATTCATATAAGACTTGCATGTTATTGACTTTTTTGACTAACAGTTGCATGGATCAATGAACGACTAGATCGAGAATATATCGATGCATAAAGTGATGAGATAGTTTCTAAATCATGAAATATCTGATCAAATTAAGTTCCATATTGATCACATTTCATCATTGTAACATCACTTCTGTCTTCTTTTAACTGAGAGCTCAGATAACATTTATGTAGCTTCAGAGAAATTTTTGACGTACTTTTTCTTCCATATTGTTTTGTAATAATCTTACTGTATATCTTTTGTTTTTATCAGATTAGAAATGAGTTGTTTTTTGTCCTTGGTTTTCTCAATCGTCAAGTTGATGGAATTGTTTGGCTTTATCTTAATTATTTATTCATTTCTTACTTTATGCTTTCATACAGAGAAAAAAACAAACATTAATTAATTTTGTTTATTTTCTAATGAAACTTTGGGTTTTCATCTCTCCCATAATAAGCATTCAAAAACATTATATATGATAGAATATGACATTTTTGTCATGCGGGCAGTAATTAAAAAATGATTGAGAAGCTTCATTTTTTCTATGAATAAGCATAGCAGATTTCGCAGGCACATTGTTCATCTAACATTTGTACATAGTTTTGAACTGTTTTATACTTTCATCAGATAATACAGAAGAGTTATATTTCTAATTTTTTTTTTGTCGTATAGATTCATAGTAATGTGTTTTATTCCGATAAGAAAAAAGCATACTGTATTTCGCTGATCAATATACAAATATAAAACATTTCGCCTTTTCTGTGATTTCATTACTTCTCTACATAAATTTTATTTCAATCTTTTATTCTACTTATTATTTGTAGATCAATATTTATAACCATTAAAATATTTCATTGTTTCCCGAAACGAATTATATGTATATTTAAATAATGCTCTATTTTTATGAGTTTAAGTCTGATTATTGAAATTCATTATGTATGTATTTCAATTATAATTGAATGAAACAAGCAAGCGATGAGAGATGTATACTATCATTGTGTATAATATTTATATGTAATTAATATCGAGTATACAAGTGAACTCGATTGCCAATAAATTAAATGTTATAGAAATTTTGTTTTCTGAAACATGTTTTATAGCAACTACATCAAGTAGTAAAATAATGGTTTCGTTAATATACAAATTTTTGATAATGAAATAGTTTTTATAATTAATGTTTAGGAAAAAATTCTTAATGTTATATCTACGAAATTGAAATATGAAATACAATCTCATTGCTAGTGCCAATTAACAGGAACACAGTTTAGTTTTATTTATTTTTGAACATATTTTCCAATACGGCAATAGTTCATATATGCAGAAGTCTGGTTATTATCATTTCAATATTTATGATAAAATTCAACAAAAAAACAAACAGAAACTGTGCAGGAGTGTATAAATTATGATGTCTACCATAATCTCATGAGAGAACGGCATTCCAATTTCTAATACCTTTATTTCAACATTTCTTCTAGGCCATGTTTTACAAACTAAAACGAATAGCAGAACATTTTTTGAAATGCTTATTGATAACAAACTGATGAGCATTGTTTTGCAATTAGCTTTTTTTACACATTGTCGATAAACAATTTTTTTGTTTACTATAAACATCATAGAGTTTCGAATTTGCAATTTTTAAATTCTTTTTCTTTTCTAACAGAAGAAAGAATTTATTACAGTGGTATTTTAAACATTAGACTAACTGTTGTTTGAATAAACAAGATACCAGTCATTAACGACAAGTACTTCTGTTTTTTTTATTTTTATTGGGATTATTAAATTTTTTAAATAAAAAAATAAACGAAATGATTTGCTTGTGTTTCTATTTTTGTATGACATTATTTACTGGTCGCGCATCGATGAATATATGATTACCTGTAGCAAACGGTATTTCTTGACAGTATTTTTATTTCTTTTCATCTATACAATACTCAAACCGTTATTGTCTTATTTAATTTTCGTCTGCTTCTATTTTTGTCATAAAAACATATTTTGATCACGAAGAAAATTAGTGAGAAAAGATCGATCCTATGACATTGAAAAAAAAAATAATGACAACAGCTTACATGCTGATTCTAGATAGATATTTCTTTAGACAAGAATCACACATAGAAATCTATATATAAATTAGCATCTGAAAAAAAAATCGACAAAAGAATATATTGATCTATGAAGTCATTACAAGCACGAACAAAACACAATAGGAATCGATTAAATACGGTCACATTCATACTTTTATTACTTTCTATTTTTGTTTCTTTCTTATTTGCACTGTAATCACTTCATATTATGCATGTTTTTTTGAAATTTCTATACATACGATAACAAAAAAATAAGAAAATTTGTTCATATCACTTAATTTCTTTCAAATATTCATAATAAAAGTTTTATAATTTGCTGATCTTTAAAAATATCTCTTCACGAGAAAAATATTTGAAATCAATTCCATCTAGAAAACTTCAGATGGCGCTTTATCTATTAGTTCTGATTGGTAAATTTGTTTTTTTTCCGTATGAATCACAAACACATACGTGCCAAAAGAAAAAGGGAACAACACAAGCGAAGTTCGAATTTTTTTCTTCTGTTTTTTTTTTGTAATATGTCAATACATTTGATGTATTTATGGAAATAGTCTGAATGTATTCACATATTCTCAATAATAATAACAATGTTTTATTATTTAATATATATTCTCATATTATTTATTGTTCAAAATACATGCGAACAATATCTATTAGGTACTCATTTCTATGTTAATCAAGATAATATACTCATTGATAATACATTAAAAACAGTTTCAACATTAGCACGTCCATATGATCTTGTTGCATTCATTGGTCAATCTGAACGTTTAGCACGTATTGATTATTTACAGACATATATTGATTCAGTTGATGATGTGGGTGATTTACCTTCACAACAACAACAACAACAGCAACAATCAAATCAAATCAACAATAATAAACAAGATAATAATGAAGATATAGATAAATGTAATAATTTTATGAATAATGGTGAATCATTAATATTTAAAATTCTTAAAACAAATCTTTATGATACATTTCATATACCATTTGAATTAAAAAATATTTCAAATAATTATACAATTAATGATAAATCAAAAAACAAATATTTTAACATGTAATAATTTTTGTCATGTCAATACGAGTAAGTGAAGTTTATTTGTTTCTTAATCTTAACATTTTCTTTATTATCTTTCTTCTAAAGGTCTCTTAACATTTGATCATCTACCAAGTATTTTAACACGTTATGATGAACAACAAGCTATACGTATTGATGATGAAGAAATAAATAATATAACAATAGCAAATTATGATAAACAAGCTCTATGGTCAATAAATGAATTATATCATAATCGAACATCATGGTTAGCATATGTTTATTTAAGTCGATATTTTAATTCAAATTTTTCATATAATAATGCTATTGATTGTTTACGTTGTGCACTTATATATGGTTCATATCATGATGATATTATACTAATTGAATTAGCTAATATTGTTTTTCGTTATGGTTATATACGTGATGCAATTATATTTATTGAACGAGCATTAGATTATCATTTGAGATTAAAAATACCAGATGTTATATCTCTATTTATTCGTTCAATATTACATTATTATTTAGGAAATCTATGTACTATTGATAATAGATTTTTATTAGCTATACAATTTTATAATCGAACAAAAATTTTATTAGAAAGAATTACAAAAATTAATGATGAACAACAATTAGAAATGTGAGTGAAGAAAATAATAAAGTCTTTTTTCTTTTACTAAGTTAATTTTAATAAAAGTATGAAAAATTCGAACAAAAAAAAAAAGAAAATTATTCAAACCTTATGACCTGTAAATCAGTTGACCTTCAGAAAGCGTTATGATTTAATAGATCGAGTTTTTCATTTGACGCGAAACGTATAATGTCAATTAATTGAAAGAATTTTCGAGTAAAAATGATGTTTCAAATTAAGATGATTATCTTAGACGACTAATTAAATAATGTCCTAAAGTTTTTTTGTGATTTTCGTTAAAATCTATTGATTTTTTTTCCTTTCAAAAAACAGTAATTCAACATTTTAATAAAAAAATTTATACTTTTTCGTTTATTATCTAGGGGTTAATTATATGATACATAGTTCTGTTTTTGACAGTTCATTAGATGGTGAACTATGTTAAATATAAAGTGATAAAGTGCCAGTGACATGTTTTCATAGAGATAAATCAAAATTTTGATTTAAAGAATATCTAAAAATGGATAACATCATAATGGTTTTGACTAGTTCACGACAACTTTGCTACTTATTATTTAATAATGTCTGTTATAAATGATTTTTAATTTAAACTTTTAGTCTTTCATCATCTTCTCTTGGTTCATTATCAATCTCATCATTATTATCAATATCTCAACAAAAGATCGATGCACTTAGTTGTCATTTAACATTAGAATTATCCTTACAACGTAAACATCATATATTACAAACTAAATTAGCTCAATTAAATCAATTACGATCAATAACTGATGAATTAATACATTTAAATACTCTTATTAAACGTGATATATCAAATGGTCAATCATATATGGATTATTTACGTCAATTAAAAGATGAAAAAAAACTACTGATTTGTGATTGGAAAAAAATAAGAAAACAAAAATCATTTAATGATCAACTATCTAATAATTTATTATTTTCATATAGAAAAGAATATTCAACAATAATGAAACAAGAAGATTATTGTTCTATTGATGATGATAATTCATTTACAATAAAAATAATAAATAATAATAGTACTGATAATTATGATTGTCGACCACGAGATAATATTATTATTATTGATGAGGATTTTAATATTAACGATACACCATTATTGAATAAAAAACAAAATCTTATGTCATGTAAGTTATATTTAAAAAAAAAAAAGAATTTTTTTTAATTACTATTTTTAAATTTGATCGAATAAACACAAACATTTATTAAATGTCATTGTTAATAGAAATATATAAATTTATATATAAACGTAACTTTACCATATCGTGTAAGATAAAGTCACATTTATATATTTCTATTTTGTGAAATGAAAAAAACAAAGAAATTATGAGTTTAGTCACGTAGATAATTAACAGTTTTATGTAACTGCTTTTCATTCTTTTCTTTTGTGTCATTATTTGAAATGATTTTTATAAAAGAGAAAAATATCACTGAGATCAAATAACAGACAAGTATTTTTAAGTAAATGTTTATTAAAAACAAAACAAATTCTTACTATATAAATATCAAACATAGATTAATATCCATTTGTCTTCATTTAATTATTTATATCATGTCAATTTACTGTCGAAAAATTTTCAAAAAATTGTATTCAAAATTAATTCTCATAAGGGAACTTCCTCCTTAGCTAGAAAAACTGTTCGAAGTTTTAGTTTATTACTGCATAAATACTGCAAATTTACGGTATCTTTTAAACGAATGTCGTAGTTCCCCCCCCCCTCCCTCCTCTGTCTCTTACGATAGAAACAACGACAATATCTGAAACATTCACAAGAAACTATTCTCATTAAGAACCATCGCTGCCATATCTGAGCAGCAATAAGCTAAGGATCTGAACCGTTTTTAAGACATTCTATTCTACGTTATATACACATATTTCGAATCAAAAGTAATTTAGCATATTGAAGACTTCTCTTGTAAGAAGATAATTCTAAATTCTTTATAATAAAATTTTTTAACTTTTATTTTCTTTCTTTGTTTTAAAGTACGTCTTGCTGCTATTGAACGTACTCAATCATCATATGTCTTAGAAGATGATAATGATCATATTGATTCTATTGAAATAAATGATAAAATAACATTAACATCAACAACAGCATGGTCAACATTAACATCACGTTTACCAACTGATGTTAAGATAGAAAATAGAAAAGAATTTATTTTAAAACAATTAAATGAACTTTATCCTCCACTTACACAAAATATTGTTATTAAATTAAATGAACAACAATTACCAACATATAAAGATTGTCAAATACATTATTATGGTTTACCATCAATTGGTGATTATCCAACAGTATGGTTACCATTAGAAAATAAAGGTTTATTAAATATAAAACAAGCATTTTATCAAGGTCTTGATCATAAAAAAAAACATTATCCACTTCCATGGTCTCCACCATTATGTACATTATATAANAAAAATGCTTTAGGAAAAATCTTTTTTACTGCCTAAAAGCTTGTTCGATGCTGTACAAAACTGACTCTGGAAAGTTTTCATTTGGAGAAATAGTTTCGCTAGAAATTAGAGTTTTCTCGGCGGTACTGGAAAAAAAGGGGCTTTTTATGTAACAGCGTTACGCGATAATAAAACCTTTCTAGACGTTCGAGACTTCAGCCGAAAAAGGTCATTCTTATAGCATAAATAGAGTTTGATAAGCTGTATCGAATGGCGTTTGAATGAACTTTCTAGCTGTTAAACCCTCCGAGTTAATTGAAGAACAGTGTGCCAAAAACGTAACAGCGTTACGTTTGGACAAGCCGTATAGTATGTTTTGTCAAACATACGAAATTGATCTGATTGATAGTGCTTCAGTGTCCGACTCGGGTCGGATCACGAAAAATTGACCCATGTCGAACACTGTAGTGCTTTGAATTTTTCCTTTGACTACTTGATATGTTCTGGGATGAAATCTATATGATGTATTTATTCAACATTGTGTTATGTAGTTTCAGTAATCTTAATAGTTTGAATTTCTCCATTGAAGAACATATATTTAATTTATTAGTTCGAACATGATAGTTTGGAGATTAAACTACGTTATTTATATTATTGAACTGTCAATATTTTAATACTGTAAAAAGTTTCATAATGAATCTTTCGGAAAGACTAATATTAACATCGTAGTTTTTACGTTCCAGCCATGGAATGATTCTGTACAAGTCACTAGCGGCTATTTATCTCGGATCATCTATCAAATAGGATGATGCCTACGTTGTGACATACTTCTGCTCTTATAGTTAATTAGTGTTTATAAAGAGCACAAGAACCCGACGTCATACCATCATCGGGCGATATGAATTTGTCCGTAGGCAGTTGAGTGACAATTGTTTTACTTTGGTGATTCATTATTGAATTTCATCATATCGATTAGGATTTTGTTGTAGATTTTTTTCATATTCATCTCTAATATGTAGAAATAAAAGTTTTGATTTTATTTTTCAATCATTCATTTCTACAAAATATAAAAATATTTTTCTATTTTGTTTTAGGTGATGATAAAGTATTAATTGGATCTTTTCTTGCTACTGGTCTTAATTCACCTGTATATAACACATCTTGGCTTTATTTTCATACAATATCACTCTATTGGCGTCTTATGGGTAATGCATCTCAAGCACTTAATTGTCTTTTTCAATCTTATCTATTATCACCATCTAATGTAAAAGATTTAACCTATCTTTCAATGGCATTATTACTCTATAACAGTCAATTAAATATAAATGAAGCTATTTATTTATTATATGAATCATTATCAATTGATCCAAATGGTCTTATTCTTACACATTTTACATTAGGTAATGCAATGGCAAGAAAAGGTCATTTAGATTTAGCTGAACATTGGTATCAATCAACATTAAAATTAAAACCAGACTTTGAACCAGCTAAACAACGTTTACGTGCTATTCAATGTTGATTATCTTATACATGTTTCTTTCTATCTTTTCTTTTTCTTCCGTCCAAAAAGAATACTTTTTTTTCATTCGGTTCCTGAATCTTGTTTTTGTTTTGTATTATTTTGGTTGAACAGTCACCTGTGTGGTTTGAGTGTCAGACAATTTCTTTCGAATCTCAATTATCGAATGAATAAATAAAAATCTGTTGTTTTCTTTTTTCAGATCTGATTTTGTTTTTTTTTCTTTGAAATTTCACTCACTATGATGAGGTGGCCTATTTGTGGACCAAAATTATCTTTATGTTTTTCGATTATATCAGTTTGGGGTATTATACAATTTATATTAATGGGTATATTTTTTTATGTTCAAGCTGCACCATTATTAGATGAGTTTGAGTTTAAAAATGAACAAAACAACAAAGAATCGTTTGAAAATGATATTAAACATGCATTTCATCAACGTGCATATAATTGTTGGATAGCAGCATTTCTTTATGTTGGCTTATTAATATTTGCTGGTTCACAATTTATGACAAATCAAAATCGATCATCAGGATCAAATATTTCAACATCCATGGCATCACCATTTCTTGGTATAACAACAGAAGAGAATGGTTTTAATCGACAATATGGAATGCAATTTCATGATGAACAGAATAATTAAGAGATGAAGAAAACGAATGAAAAAAATATTTTAACAGTGGCATAGTATTCTATTTTATTTTTGTTGTTGTTGTTGTTGTATGTGTCCGTATGGAAGAATCAAAAAAATAATCTCTATTTGTTGTATTGTTTCGTAAAACGTAAATTGGTTTACCGTATTTATCGTTTAGGAATCAGTAAATTTAATGTGTGTACAAAATATTTTCGAGATTTCATTTTTCTACTTGATACTTAAATCATAAAGAGTGTTATTCATCGAGACTTCATTCACTTGGCCATAGACTGATGCAATACAGATCGGAGGTTTCAATGGGTTGAACTAAATTGATTTGATATTGCGATCGGCGCTAGACATGGGTAAGATCGACATTCTTTTTTTGGAATTGGAATCACCCGTCCTAAGTTACGAATACAACATCACGGAAAACAACTGCAGCAACATCGGCATGCAGCAATAAATTAGAAATAAACAGAAATCATAAGAGTCTTTTAGATCACGAAAAATAATCATATTGTTTTAAAAATAAGAAGATGATGAAACAATTAAATATTATTTAAATACATTTCTAAACGACTAATTCCAGCTTCTATAATAAGATAAAGAGAACTTTTCTATTTTTCATGAAAATGTGTTCGATTTCAAAATTCTTGTAATTTGGAATCAGGATCAAAATTTCCGATTCCAATCCGAAGTCGTCTATAAGTTGAATCTTAAATAGAATATAAAATTTTCAAAAAATGTTGTCTATTTCTTCGAAATATTTTTTTCAAAAATCTTATGTAAGTCTTTCATTGAGCAAAACATTTCAGTAATGAACAGGAAATAAATATTGATATTGAAAAGTTCTTAGTTTTCTAATTAAAAAATTAGAAAACACTGATGAATTCGAAAGAATTGAAGGTATGCAGATTGCCAAATATGTAGTTAAACATTTGTTTATGCATCAACTGCTGGTACTTGAAATATGCTTACTCATTCATGTATTAAAAAAGTTATCCAATACAATGAGATGAATGTTGCATAGGCCAACTTTCTTCAGTCCAGCTCGTTGAATCCACTGATGGATATATACATAAAGTTCTGTTGTTTGGAATTATTTTTATTTATAGACATAAAAACTCATGTAAATTAAGACAGATTCGAGTTTATAACTAATGGATACTTCGAAAGTTCTGTATTAATATTATTTTTAGAGTAACGTGACAATAACTTGATGTGGACACTCAACAGTTTTCTTAATAGAGAGAGTGAAAGCTGTACGATAAAGTCGTATGAGAATATTTGACTGAAAATATTTACCGAAAACTGAAAGATACCTTGTAACTTCACATAAGATCACTGACGAAAAGTGCATTTCATCGATTTGTCTATTTTCGAAAGTTTTAGGAATGCTGTGTAAAAATGTAACCAATACAATACGAACTTTCTAGTGGTATCAAAATATTCGAATTACAATAGTACAGGTTGCATCGGAAATAGTTTTTATTAAAAACTTGATTTTCACTCTACAATGTTCAATGAAGTTTTTCTCATAATGTCTAGTATTCTGTTTTATAGAGTGTACTTCCGTTGAAGGCCTATTAAACTCAAATTGAGAATAAAATATGGGGATTTTCATTAATTTTGATTGTTGGAAAAATCTCACTTTTCGAAATGTTTATCAATTGTGAACATTTTTCGCTAGTAAAGATCGTTAGAAATAGAGTACTTCATGGGTGCAACTTTTCGTATCCGTATCCTACCCGTACTCGTAAACTTCATACGGGTACCTGATCTGTGGGTTGCAGTTCTCTAGTAAGAAAAAATGTCGATTATGAACTCAATCGATAATTTAAAAATTTTACTTTCACCTGTTTACAATGCCTTATCCTATCGTTAAGAAATTCAATAAACGACGGAAAATAAGATCAACTTACGAGGGAACATTCCCAGGTGTTGGAGCGATTTTTAGTCGAGACTTTGCGCATCTTTTAGGCCTGGATGAATTATGTCTACCGTAAAAAAAGTTCGTGCCCCTAGCTTGTTCCTAGTGAGATATCGAAGTTTTAGTGAATTTTTTCTATAAGACCCCACATTTGCAGCAAGGCCATATTTTTGAATTTTGATCTGAAACTTTGCCCACATAAACATATCAGCTAGACTAGTTTGCATAAAAAATTTCAGAACTTTTGGACAAAGTCTCTCCGAGATATGAAGCTTTCAACGTATAAGCCATTTTCCATAGATAGCGTATAAAACATGCATTTTTTGAAAGTTTCATATCTCGGAGAGACTTTGTTCAAAAGTTCTGAAATTTTTTATGCAAACTAGTCTAGCTGAGATGTTTATGTGGGCAAAGTTTCAGATCAAAATTCAAAAATATGGTCTTGCTGCAAATGTGGGGTCTTATAGGAAAAATTCACTAAAACCTTGATATCTCACTAGGAACAAGCTAGGGGCACGAACTTTTTTTACGGTAGACATAATTCATCAAGGCCTACAAGATGC